TTAGCACAGGGGTCTGCAACCTTAAACACTCAAAGAGCCATTTGGACCCATTTCCCACAGAAAAGAAAACACCGGGAGCCACAAAACCTGGGTGGGCATGGCCAGCTCGATGTCACTTACTTCTACCAGTCACATGACTCCTTAGCCACACCTACCCAGCCAGTCATTAGGGCAGAGAACCATTTGTTAAAAAACACCAGGAACCCCAAACCCATTTCACATATCTCTCTCGCCCCTCCCTCCCTCCTTCCCTCCCTCCTCTCTCTCTCCCTCTTTCTCTGTGTCTCTCTCCCTCCCTCTTTCTGTATCTCTCTGTCTCTGCCCTGGCCGCTTCTCTATCCCCTGCTGTCGCCCTTACCATCTCAGGCCAGGCGAGGAGTGACTGGGAGGGGAGGGCAAGGGGCGGGGCCAGCCAGTGGTGAGATCACCTGACAGGGAGCCACAGCAGAGGGCCCAAAGAGCGCATGTGGCTCCAGAGCCGCAGGTTGCTGACCCCTGGCTTAGCATATTGTTTTTGCCAGAAAAACAATATACTGTGGGATGGCCAAATATATTACATTTCAGCCGGGACCAAAACTCAGTGAAATATTCTAAATATACATCACTTATTTTTGTTCCAAGGATAGATGATGCATATCTTACCACTTAAGATTTTAAAATATACAAATCAAAGCAGCAAATAAAATAGTAAAATAAAATATCACAGAGAATATGTTCGCGAGGAACACCATTATATTCATTGCACATTTCTCACAGAGCTCTCTTTTATTGTCTGTTTTATAACCTGAACGTATTTGGTTTCTGGGCAGCTAATTTTTATTGATCTTGTCATGGAACATTATTACAATTTAAAGATGACTTGGAGGGGAATCTAGTTGTTCTTGGGCAGTTCTTGATCACGGAAGTTCATGTCCTGCCTTTTGGCAATTTTATCCATCAGTCGTTGTTTGCTTTCTCCCAGTCCTCAGCATTTTTAGTCTACTCAGGATACTGTTGCATTTCTGTCCATATGCAGTTACATATGGACTGCATATCGTTCATCTTATTGATTAAAATACATCATACAGAGATTTTGGCAAGGAAGCTGCTACTTTTCCGGCCTTCTCTTCCAAGTATTGGTGTTGTTAATCAAACTGAAACCCATAGAAAGAAATAGCTTTTGATTTGGAGACAAAACAGTCCCTATGTACCCTCAAGTCGCAGTAACAAACAAATGACAGATCACAGAAGACTCTGGTCTCCTAAATCAGTATGGGAGGCAATTATAATTTATATGAATTTTTTTCCAGTAATACTTCTGCTGATAGTTTTAAAGAATCAGCAAACTGATGTAGCAAAAGGATCTTCCTCTTTCTCCCCGCTTCTCAGTGACTCTGGGCAGCTCACAAGATATTTAAGGATTTAAGTCGGGTGTCAGCAACCTGCGGCTCCAGAGCTGCATGCGGCTCTTCGGGCCCTCTGCTGTGGGTCCCTGTCAGGTGATCCCACCACTGGCTGGCCCCTCACCTTGCCCTCCCCTCCCAGTCACTCCTGGCCTGGCCTGAGAAGGTTTAAGAGTGACGGCAGGGGATGGAGAAGTGGCCAGGGCAGAGAAGAGAGATACAGAGAGAGAGGGAGAAAGACAGAGACATAGACAGATACAAAGAGGGAGTGGGAGGGAGGGAGGGAGAGAGAGAGATGTCAAAAGGGTTTTGTGGTTCCTGGTGTTTTTTTAACAACCGATTTTCTGTTCTAATGACCGGCTGGGTAGGCGTAACTGGGGCGGTGTCATGTGACTGGTAGAAGTGAGTGACATCGAGTTGGTCACGCCCACCCAGGTTTTGTGGCTCCCGGTGTTTTTTTTTCTGTGGGAAATGGGTCCAAATGTAAGGTGACCAGACGTCCCGCTTTTGGCGGGACAGTCCCGCTTTTTAGCAATTTGTCCCGCGTCCCGCGGCGTTTCAAAAAAGTCCCGATTTTTCATTCTGCCTCCTCAGTCCCGCTGCCTCTTGAGCCCCAGCTGATGGCTAGAAGAAAAAAAAACTGTTTAAACTCTTGCCCGGGGCTTCAAAGGGCCGCCCTACAGGCAATCAGTGTAAAGAGTTCCTGAAGCAGTTTTTTTTTCCCCCTAGCTAAGCTGCAGAAACGAAACCGAAACCAGGATCTTTGGTGGAACGTGACAAAATGAGGCAGAGAGAGATTTATTTTTATTTTTATTTTTCCTCCCCAAAAAAGGTAGGTGAAAAACTGCAAACAATGGGAAATTTAGGAGGAGAGTTCAAGATTTTAAAACACAAAAGAAAAAAAAGCTATATTTAACTAGGGAATTGTAATAATTGAATTGAGATACTATTAACTGTATATTGTGTTGAAAGCAGAAATGTTTAAGTTGTGGTTCAGAGGAATATATGGGGGAAATTATTTGGTTTATTATTATTGGTAAATATAATTAATTGATTTGTAAGAAATTGGATTGCATGGAAATAATTGGAATATTCATGTTCATATTGATTAATATACAAAAAAGATAGTTTTATAACTAATTGATTTATATTAAAATGTTGAATTTGTATTAAACAACTGTATTACATAATTACATAATTAAACAATGTGAGGATGGATATAAAAATAGATGACAATGGAAAGGGGTATAATATAGAATAGAAGGGAAAAATTGAATTTGATTAAGATTAGAGATGAGGATGAAGGGTAATATTGGTTTTTTTTAAAAAATAGATGAGGAATAAATATGGCAAAAAGGAAATATAGAAATTGTAAATTTAATTGAAGTGACTAAACACTGTTTAAATTTGTGAACCGGCCAAATATTCTGTTCAAAGAAAATACATTGTATGTTTGTATGTGTGTTTCTAATTACTGCTATTTATTCATATTTGTTCTCTTTTATTCTTTAAAGTTTAACCATTCATTCTTTATCTTAATATCTTTATATTTGTTTGGGGTTGGCTTTCTTCCCTTTCATCTTTTTTATTGTACAGCAATCTTTCTCCTCAAACCTACCACCTCTCTCTTTTCTTTCCTTCTTACTTTCTCTTCCCCCCCTCTTCTTCTCCTCCCTACTTCCTCTTCCTTTCTCCTTCTCCTCTCTTCCTCCCCCTCTTACCCTCACTCCTACTCTAATTTCCCTTCCCTTCCTTCATCCCTCTCTATTGCTGTATCCTTTTATGCATATGGACTACTCAGAGGGCTGAAAAAGTTATTTTTGACTGGTCCTCGCACTTTTGACCAGTCATCGAACTTACGACTGTCTTCACATTTTATGTTTTTTGCCCTATCTTATCACCATGGTGAAGAGAAGCAGTTGTGAAATGAGTGACATGGTTGTTAAGGATGCTGCATGGGCATAAATGTGAGGATGGTCATAAGTGTGAGGACCAGTCAAAAGTTGCGAGGACCTGTCAGAAATGACTTTTTTCAGCCCTCTGGTTAGTCCTTTTGTGCATATGGACTACTCAGAGGGCTGAAAAAGTTATTTTTGATTGATCCTCGCACTTTTGTCCAGTCCTCAAACTTACGACTGTCCTCACATTTTATGTTTTTTGCCCTATCTTGTCATCATGGTGAAGAGAAGCAGTTGTGAAATTAGTGACATGGTTGTTAAGAATGCTGCACGGGCATAAATGTGAGGATGGTCATAAGTGTGAGGACCAGTCAAAAGTGTGAGGACCTGTCAGAAATGACTTTTCAGCCCTCTGGTTAGTCCCTATACACATAGCCATGGCCACCCGGTCACATGACCAGCTAGCCACACCCACCCAGTCACATGGCCTCCAAGCCATGCCCAGACAATAAGTCACGCCCACAATGGTGTCCTTCTTACCAATGTTAAAATCTGTTCACCTTACCCTATACACATAGCCAGGCCACCCGGTCACATGACCAGCTAGCCACGCCCACCCAGTCACATGACCAGCTAGCCACGCCCACAAAATAAGCCACGCCCACAATGTCCCTCTTTACCAATGTTAAAATCTGGTCACCTTATCCAAATGGCTCTTTGAGTGTTTAAGGTTGCAGACCCCTGATCTAAGTGTAAGAAGCCATGTCTTGAATTAAGCATAGCAGCAACTTGGTAGGCATAACAACTTAAGGAGAGAGTTTATACAACAGTTTAAGCCATGATTTATGTGGGTTTGGGTAAGAAATAAACACACTGAGACTTAGCATAATGAGTGAATCAAGACTGCTTCTGGCATATTATTAAGCCATATTTGGCTTTACCATGGTTTATTGAATACACCATAGTGGTTGAGTTCACAAGACATTATGGTCAAGATGAAACAAATCCCCAATGATTAAAGTAATTTGTGTGCTTAGCTTTAGAACCAGTGTAATAATAATCTCATAATGCATTCTCTGAACTTTTCAAATCACTTATGAAGAGCAGCACCACATACCATGCACAGAGCAAACAGAAATCAACCCAGCAGAAGAAAAATTGGGGCACGGGAGGATATACTTTATTATAGCTTTAAGATGAGTATGTTTACTCAGAAGTAAATCTCTCAAAAGCCAAACAAACTGAATGCTCAGTAAACATAAGGGATGTTGCTTAATTTTGTTTTGGGATTTCTGATCTATGATGCATTTGTGCGCACATTTTTTTTTTGCCAAAAGATCATTTGTCTTTAAATGGGACAGCGTTCTCAAACAACTAAAAGATGGCCTTTTTTTCTAAACTACAAAATACTAAACTACAAAATAGCCAACTCATGTTGAAATCCAACTCCGGTTGTTTGCTTATGATTCTGCTATGCGAAGCCAACAAGTCACATCAGTTAACAACATGTAAATAGCTCCTGGAAGTAAAACTTGGGGAACGCGCGCGCGGTCCCAGCCAAGGTCTCCAAACCAATCTGCGGAGAGGTAGTAAAATACCTTATTACCTCTCCGCAGTAGTTTTTAAACTACATTTCCCAGAAGGCTAAGTGCATAGACAACTGCCCTGCACAAGCGCCCTGAATGGGATTCTGGGAATTGCAGTTTTCCGGTTACTAAGGAGTCGCCCATGGGACAAAATGTCGTACGTGTTCCCGAAAAGGGCTGGTGTGTCGCTCAAGCAGGTGAAGACTGTCCTGGTCACTTTTTGTCCTTTCGAGTTCAATGTGCAAAGCACCAGGTGAGAAAGATCGCGAGTGAGGCTTTCCGGACGCTTGCAGAGCCAGCCCGGAGTTTCCCGACCGGAATATAAAGGCGAAGGCTTTTTTTTTTTTAACATGGGAGACTGTTGTGTGTAATGGGGATTGCAGGCTTAAAAAACAACGCCGTTTGCAAGGAATGAGCTGTCCATCCTTGGGATGCGCTACATGGTCGTTTGAGGCTAAATCCCGTACAACAGAGTGGGATCGAGGAAGAAATTATCTGGATGCAAAATGGTCGAGTGCAAGGATGCTGAGCCTTGTTGGTTCTTTTATTTAAAAAAAAAACTTTGTGGGAAAGAAAGGGTTGCTGGATTGTAACTGTTGCATTTAAATTCTGTTTTAATTCACGAGCCAGCATCTTGTATTAGACTTTAGTTTCCAAGAGCACCCTGCAAAAAACAAAACAAAACATGGTTAGTGATACTGAAAATCTGAGATGTCCAGAAAATGCAAAAGTGTTGTAATTACTATCTCTTCAGTACTGAACAGGATTTATGAGTAAATCCTGATTAAAATAGACCTGGAATTTGTTTCATCTTGATAGTGTCTGAATATTGATCTGCTGTGATCCCCTCCAGCAGGTGGTGAAAAATAAATAAGTGGTATGGTGATTCTGCTGCAGAAGAATGTGTATAGCTATTCCTACATCTTAAAACAAGTTTCTGGGAGTGCTAACAGCAATTTAATTGTAAATTTGCTATCATGCCTCCTTATGATTAAATCAGGTCGGATGTCAGTCTAGAGCATGACTACAATAACCATGATCACATTGTAGTTAATATTCTCTTTAACTACAATTAGATTCTTGCCTGAATTTATTTTATTTATTTATTTTTAATTAATTAATTTTAATTGTCAAACATGTACAAGATAACAAGTATAGGTATGAACATAAACATGAACAAAGGAAGTAAATACAGATAAATGGGGACAGTAAGGCAGAGATGGTAGGCATGCTGGTGCGCTAATGCATGCTACCTTTACGGACCTCTTAGGAATGGGGTGAGGTCCATGGTAGACGTTTGAGGCTGAAGCTGTGTGGGTGTTCTGTCGCCGTCTCACACACGCACACAAACAGTCAGCCAGGAGTTAATAAAACCAGCAGTCAGGAATTCCTTTGAGATAATAGAATTGGCAGCAACCCAGTAGCTGCCTGCCAAAGACTTTACTCACAAAGAGAGGTTTTTCTCCTCCGTCCGATATACCAAAATAAGTCCACAAAGCCAAAGAATTGTCAAGTTCAGTCCATAATAAATCCAATCAGGACATATAACGAAGTTCCAGAAACGCAGTATGACTTGCTAGCTTTTCAGTTTTGTCCATCACAAGGCCTGAATGGCCACCACACCCCCTTTTATCCCCTGTTGGGTGTGGTCCAGTGTCTCAGCTGAATTTCTGGCACGCCTCTTTCTCTGCTGCGTGCGCTTATCTTTCCGACGCTGTCGAAGATCCAGCCAAGACTCATCTTCGTCGCTGTCTAACTGTGGCTGCTCGGAAGTGCCTGGCTTCTGGCCTATCTCTTGGCCTTCGGAGGACACCTGAGACATTGCCAGAGAGGAGGGTCCTGGAGAGGGAGGCCTTGCCAACTCCTCTCCTTCACTTTTGAAGTCTTCTCCCTCTGATAATATGGGCTCGGGCGACGGAGTCACAACAGTGGGTTTGAGGCTGTAACAACGGAGTCGGGTAGAGCATTCCAAGCCTTGACCACTCTGTTGCTAAAATCGTATTTCCTGCAATCGAGTTTGAAGCAGTTTACCTTGAGTTTGTATCGTTTGCTCGTGTATTATTGTGGTTGAAGCGGAAGAAGTCGTTGACAGGCAACATGTTGTAGCAGACAATTTTGTGTACTATGCTTAGATCAGACTGCAGGTGGCGCAGTTCCAGATTGTCCAAGCCCAAAATTTCAAGCCTGGAGGCATAGGGAATTCTATTGTGAGTAGAGGAGTGGAGTACTCTTCTTGAGAAATACCTCTGAACCCGCTCAATTATGTTAATGTCCGATATACAGGGTGTATATGACATGTTGAACAATGGCTGTAGAATAGCATTTTAGTATCATTATGGCTCATCCACAATGTTAATATATAGCAGGTGGGTATTGATATTGCACAAAGTAACTCAGCAATTAAGACAATCTTGTGTTTATATATATCACAGATTTTTTTTAAGTAGGACTCCTTTTACCCTTTACATGAAAAATATTGCTGCTTTGTATGTAACCTTTATATAACAAATTGTTGACAAGATATACAAATACATTTTTACAGCCTTTCTTGATCTTTCTCTAACTTTTCAGAAATTTTCTTCAGTGTCTATTTGAAAAGAAGGCATACAAATCAAACTTGAACTGTGATGTGAAAGCAGAGATAAAACATGATGGATCTGAACCAGTTATAGACATCACATTTGGTAAGAAATAATTTCATGCAACCAGTAGCAGGAAATGTCTATGGCAGTGTTTCTCAACCTTGGCCGCTGGACGATGTGTGGACTTCAGCTCTGCTGGCTGGGGAATTCTGGGAGTTGAAGTCCACACATCGTCCAGCGGCCAAAGTTGAGAAACACTGGTCTATGGAGATTCTCAGTCATCCAGGTCATGGTTGTCCCAAGGTGCTTTTTCCAGAGACAACTAGACTTTCTTGTTTTTCACTTCTCATTCTTGGATGAGAAGCAAAAGTTAAAAACGTGTTCAAAGAACAACCAGAAAGTCCATTTGCCTCTTGAAAAAGCACCTTGGAACAATAGCAGGAAATATTATCTAGTGGCTCAAAATATCATGAGTTCTAAAACAATTATTTATTTATTTATTTATTTATTTATTTATTTATTTAGTTAGTTAGTTAGTTAGTTAGTTAGTTAGTTAGTTAGTTAGTTAGTCAGTCAGTCAGTCATATTTCTATACTGCCGAGGACTCTCGACGGCTTACACCAAAGACAGTATACTAAATAGCATATTGCCCCCAACAATCTGGGTCCTCAATTAGCCTGAGTCTTCGGAGGGGGCGGCATATAAATTTAATTAATTAAATTAAATTAATTAAATTAGAAGTATTAGTGGTTATTTTAAAAAAAGGTTTCAAAGTTTTTGAAATATTTTTGTTCTGTTTCAATAAATCTTTTATAATGACCTGTTTCAGGAAATATTTATGAATAAATACTTGAGTTTGAAAATCAAACATTGCTCAAAATACCTTTTAATGTAAACTTAACTTTTATTTCCTTGGTTGTAATATTATTTTATTATTGCTCTATTAGCTTTTGCAGATTGTCTCTGCTAAGACTAAGACACTTGACATTTCTATTTTGTTTTCATGCCACATGATAGGAAACATGATAGGAAATATGAGAGAAATAAAAGCATGTAGATGTGTGTGGTGTTTTCTAAAGAGTTATGGAACTTTGCAACATATATATTTATTTCTATGTATCTCACCTTTATTCTTTTTACAAATAACTCAAGGTGGCGAGTAAACATATCCAACACATTTTCCTCTCCCTAATTTCCCCATAACAACAATCCTTATAAGGTGGGTTGGGCTGAGAAAGAGTCACTGGCCCAAGGTCACTCAGTTGGCTTTAATGGCTAATGTGGGACTTTAACTCACAGCCTCCTGGTTTCTAGCCTGTGTTTTTTACCACTAGATGGCTTATTGTAACTTCTAGAAGCCACTGTAGATTACCAATGAAATTATTTTAACAAAAACAATAGGATGTCACTATTTAAAAAATAATGTAGAATTTTACCAGAAACAGATGAGAAAGTACGAGTACAATTGAAAACCATGCTTTGAAACATGTCTGATCATGTTTATTCAAGTCCTCTTTAAATCTGTAGGGTTTATTATCTGGAACCCGGTATGTGGATTGAGACCATGGTGATTAGGGTTTTTGTCTCCTGGAGTTAAAAGACTTTTTTGAGGATTCTTTTTCCATTAGGTGTTTGAACTTGGTTTGGATACTTAGTACGAAATGTTGTATATCAAGCCAATTGGTGCCAATTGTTTTTGGAAATGGAAGTGGGCAAGAAGTGGGCAAGAAGTGGTGACCCCGAGTGTGTAGATTACAGATTTTGTCCTTCACATTTCCAGTTAATATTAAAATTCATTATTTGAAATCCTGGAATCTGCTGTCATTTAATTTTTATAGTATTTGGCTACATCTGTATTTCTCAATCTTGGCATATTTAAGATGTGTTGACTTCAACTTCCAACATTCTCCAGCTTAGTATAAGAATTCTGAATTTGGGAGTTGAGAAATACTGGGCTACATTGTGGAAGAATTTTTTCAGTGAAAGGCATCTCATATCCTAGCTTTAGGTTTGTATTGCCACCCCTTCTTTAGAAAGCTGATTATTTCAAATTGAATCTCATATATCTGTGTGCATAATTTATCATTTAATGTTCAAATGAAAGGAATTGTCCTAGCATTATTGTTTTTCATAGTGAAAATAACATTCCTAAATATCTATCTGATTTTGTAACATAGAACTGTTAACACTCACTGATTGCTTTTTATTTTCCTCCTATAATTAAATTATTATATTTCTTTTCTAGCTGATGGTGAGAGATTGGTTATGAAAGGAGCCAATTTAACAACTCAAGAGATGTTAAATGCATTCAACTCTAGATGTCAAAAGAAAGAACTTGCGGTAGCAGAATAGCCACCACCATAGACTACTTGAAACTGACGATAGAAGAGTTTGCATCAATATTATAAATGCATACCAATCTACATGAAACTACACTCAGAAAAATGGCAAGGACTTTCCTAATAACCGAAAGAATCTAAAGTGGATATATAGAGGAGGCAAGCTGATTCTGGTTTTAAAAAATGCTTTTTGGACTTTTGATTAAAGATTAAACTCTTAACACCTTCTCAGTGTTAGATTAACATCATTTTTATTAGTATAGAGGGAGTAGTGACTTCCCTTTACAAGGGAAGATTCTACAAGGGTTTAGAAGAATAAACTTAGGAATGGTTGGAATCAGAAATTTAGTCTGGAGAAAAGAAAGCTACAGTGGACTTGCTGTCTTCAAGTATCTGAAGGTTGTCGTGTAAATAGGCAAAATCATTCAGTTCTAGAAGACAAGAACCTGAGTTTAATTTAAAAGGAAACAGATTTAAATTGGACCTGAAACAAAAATTCCTAACAGGTAAGAGCGGTTAAAACAATGGAATAATTCACATAGGGAGGTCTCCACTTTTCTATACTTAAACAGTGTCTAGGTGGCCATCTGTCAAGGTTGTTGTGGATTTGCTTTGGGCAGGGATTGAACTAGATGAACCTCAACGTCTCTTCCAACCCTTATATTTTATGATTCTTTGTATAATCTATATGTTATCCATAACTGGGAGATACTTACACGATTTTTCTATTTTGAAGATGAGGCCCTTCTCCCCAAGATTTGTAATTGATTCCATATGGACATTTCTGTCCATTGGAGTCAGAATTGTATTCAAATAGAGTGGAGTGGAGTGGAGTGGAGTGGAGTGGAGTGGAGTGGAGTGGAGTGGAGTGGAGTGGAGTAGAGAAGAGTAGAGTAGAGTAGAGTAGAGTAGAGTAGAGTAGAGTAGAGTAGAGTAGAGTAGAGAAGAGAAGAGAAGAGAGAAGAGAAGAGAATAGAAGAGAAGAGAAGAGAAAGAAGAGAAGAGAAAGAGAATAGGCCAGGTGTGATTGGACACACAAGGAATTTGTCTTGGTGCATATGCTCTCAGTATACATAAAAGATACGTTCATCAAGAATCATAAGGTACAACACTTAATGATAGTCATAGGGTATAAATAAGCAATCAGGAAACAATATCAATATAAATCCTAAGGATACAAGCAACAAAGTTACAGTCATAAGTGGAAGGAGACGGGTGGTGGGAACGATGAGAAGATTAATAGTAGTGCAGACTTAGTAAATAGTTTGACAATGTTGAGGGAATTATTTGTTTAGCAGAGTGATGGCATTTGGGAAAAAAATGTTATAGTGTCTAGTTGTTCTGGTGTGCAGTACTCTATAGCGTCATTTTTAGGGTAGGAGTTGAAACACTTTATGTCCAGGATGTGAGGGGTCTCTAGATATTTTCACAGCCCTCTTTTTGACTCGTGCAGTATACAGGTCCTCAATGGAAGGCAGGTTGGTAGCAATTGTTTTTTATGCAGTTCTAATTATCCTCTGAAGTCTGTGTCTGTCTTGTGGATGTGGATTCATGTGGATGAACAAAATTGAAACACTCTATGTGGAACCTTCAATAAATATAAAACATCTTCTGTTTACTTGTAATCAGGAACAGGAGGAACATCTTATAGTCTAAGGTTACATTCATGGGACTGATCCCATAAAACAAAACAAAGTGAATGTGGCTAAGTTAACCTCCTGTTCTCCTGTTCTCTTCCTGTCTGCCTTGGCACTCTTTCCTCAAGGCCTTTCTGCACCAGGACTCTTGTTAGTTCAAAACCAGCTTCAGACCTCCGCAGTTTCATTAGTTGAGATTAAAGCCAATGTATTTCTACTTCAGTTGAAGCATATTTGAAACTACAGAATAATAGCACTCATATTTAGCTTTGAAATACTGTGTTCCTAGAAGTTATGAGCAATGTGAACATTTTATTTCCTCATTCCCCAAACCTGAAATTTAAACATACTAACAAATATTTAAAGAGAAGGGTGACTTGCCAATTTTGCAGCATCCTCCAAGGCTTTTTCCCCCCCCCATATGACCCAATAAAAGCAGACTTTATGAAAAAGAGGATAAATGGAATACAAATAGTCCTCGACTTGTGACTGCAATTGGACTGGAATTTTAGTCTTAAATCTTGACGGTCATAAGTAAAGGCACCCACATGACTGGACACAATTTTATGACTCATTTGGCAGCGGTTAAGAAAATTGTGTGATCCTAAGTCCAAATCCATTTTCTGAATGGGTATATTTTCCTGGGAACCAGCAAAAAAGGAATTAAAAAAAATAATAATCAAATATCATATGACTGCAGGACACTGGAACCAGTCATGGATGTGATTGCCAAGCACCCAAAATGCAGGGATGTGGGGATTGTGCGTAGCACAACATTTTGGCCTGAAGTGCTTTAGTGATCACAAAACATCCTTTCTGAGGTCATCTTAACTCCGAATGGTTATTAAATGACTAGTAAATTTAAAAAAAAAAAACCTGTATGCAAGCAGTATCCTTTCCCTTGGATATGGAATGGGAATGAAGACAAGTTTCTTTAGTATGCAACAACCTAAATCCAATAAAAACAAAACAAAAACAAAACCTGGGTGGACAAGTAATTTTTCAATCCTTATTCCTACCTTCAAATTAGAGTTACTGACCTTTGCTTGCTGCTTTAACAAGCCTCTACAGTTTTCCTGGCGAGATTTCAGAAGTGGTTTGGCATTGCCTGCTTCCTAAGGCTGAGGGAGAGTGACTGGCTCAAGGCCATCCAGTTGGCTTTGTACCTAAGGCAGGACTAGAATTCACAGTCTCCCAGTTTCAAGCTTGATGCCTTAACTACTACACCAAAACTGGCTTATCGATATATTATTCCAATCAAACATAAAAATATACCAACACACCAAGTTAATATAATAGCAATAATTTAGATGCAGGACATATGTACAGAACTATGAGGGACAACAATATTTCATAATTCCCAATGCAAAGATTAGTGATTTTATCCACTATTACACACATACGGAATTGCTTATAGATCTTTCTATGTCCTTGCAGAGTTTACATGATTTCACATAAGCAAAAAGTAAAGTGTCTTCTTTTTTTAATAGTTTAAGATACATAGGAGATTATTATTTGGTTTTACAATATAAAATGTTACCTACTTATAGACAGATATAGACAGGCAGACAAAACAAACATCCTAAATTGGTCAAAAACAAAACAATACTTCCAAACTAAAAAAGCTCATTTAAAAAAAAATAAAAAATGAATAAGTATAGTGGTGCTGTTTCATCATTTTTTCATCAGTCAGTCTGTTGATTAAATTGCATCATTGGGATTACTAAATAATAATAAAAAAAAACCCTGGTAACCCCAGTGCATTAGTAAGTATTTTAGGAAAAGAGAAATAGTAACTTTAAAAAAAGTCTGGTGGGTTTTAAACCATTAATACTCTATATGATAAGCAATAATTATAATGAATGCCCTGTTGCAGGGCTACTGGTCAAGGTTGCTTTAAAAAAAAAATTAGAGATAGTCCTCGGTTTACATCTATTCATTCAGAGATTGTTCAAAGTTTTGCCAGCTATAAAAAAAAAACAATGAAGTTCCGACTGGTCCCCAAAGTTCTAACTATCCCAGCATCCCCACAGTCATGTGACTGTGAGCCAAGCATTTGGATTCCTGGCAGGTGATTATGACATCACAGCAAGCCATGTCACATGATTGCCATTGGCAACCTTTCTAGACAACTTCCTACAAGTGAAGTCAATGGGAAGCTGACAGGGAAGGTTGTATGTTGCCCTTGTAAATCACTTCCATCACTTTTTCTCCCAAGGAGTCTTCTGCAAAGTATCTAGCAGCCCCTTCTAGCTGCACACCATGGTGTGTCCCCATCCACAGGTCACCCCTGCCTCCTCTGCTGCCCCTCTACCGCCTCTCTCAGAGTTTCTTCAGCCTCCATCAGCCCTCTTGCCCTTCCTAGTACTTGTCTGTGGCACACCCTTCTCCTACAGCACCCATGCAAAACCCACCTGGTTCCCTTACCTGGGATTTCTGCCTCTTCCCAACCCATGTGCTGTGGAGTTACAGCTGGGATTGCCATTGCTAAGTGATGCGGTCATCTGATATCATGCTTTACAACTGCATCACTTAGCGATAGCAATCTCGGTCCTTATTGCTGTCGTCATAACTTGTGGACTACCTATAGACACCACGTTACCCATAGACTCAATTGATGAGCTTCCTGCTCCTGCAAAGTAGCCAGTCGAGAAAGAAATATACTACAGGCAAAATGAACATCACCTTAGGTAACAGAAGTAGGAAAATAACACTTTGAATAGCACTTCAGGAGTGGGAAAATGCTGCTCTCACTGGTTGAAGGGAATTTAGAGGCGATGCTGTTCATTCCTGTAATACCAAAAATGGTCATTGGCCTGTAACTAGTTATGGGGCAACCTGATAACGTGGATGCATAAATAAGCCATAGTGGTCTCTTCATTAGGGTTCATTAAAAAATGAAACAGTGGCATGTGATACAAGTTCATACAAACACTGAAGTTGAGAAAGAAATGGATGGGTTGGACAGGATGTGGTGGACTATTCAGGTAAAAATATTATTTCTTGCACTTTATGTAATGGGGTGATTTCACATCTGCCTTATTGACTATTCTTTCATATTAGTTGAAGAGCAATTATTGCTGTAGTTCTAATGACAAGTGGCAAAAGTGTTGTAATGTACTGGCAGCTATAACACAGGTGCACAACTAGCATCATCAAGTTTCCTTTCTAAATATTGGTCATCTGCACCACCGGACATGAATCTTTAATCTGTAATTTAAAAAACACAGACATCAAAAAATGAAATCCTTAATAAGCAAATTAAAAACTGATTCACCAGTCAAACGTGATCTTAAGCTATTATGTTTAGCATACATTTGTGAATCTAAAGCATAGTTTTCCAATGTCACCACTGTTTGACACATTAGCCTAGGATGGTGAAAACAAAACAACAACAACAAGAAAACAACCCAATGCTGGCCAGTGTCTTAGTTTCTCTAATTAATCCTGAGTCAAATGCACAAAGTAGTCTGTTCTCCAAAGACAGTAAGCCATTGTAATTAGAATTTATTATGAGTTATTTTTCCAATAGCAATATCCAATATCTGAGTTATGTCTCAACTTGTTTGTTTTCAGATATCAGAACAAAGATTCCATAATCTCCATATGATGAAATGATGGAAACCGAAAGTAGAATTAGACTGTATTCTCTCTGATCCACCAAGATCAGTAACAACCACCATTGCATAGTATCTGCTAAGTTCAACCTGGATAGATGGTCCAAAGGACATCATGGCTAAGGATATCAAAAACTAGCTTATTTTCCGCTCCTAAGGCATCCTCAAACTGACTACGAATGTTTTCATCCTACTGCTGGACCTGATGTATAATCGGAAAGAATCTAAAGAAACAATGGAATTGGGACACCACTACAAGTTCCAATGACTTTATGAACAAAGATTTTGTAGTGCTTTACAGTTTCAGTCTATTTTTTCTATATATTCGCAAAGGTACACATTTCATTATATATTATATTCTATAATATTATATAACAATGGAAGATCCTTCTCTTCTGCATTTATGGAAACCACAAGATTTATGTGGTCCAATTTTACTACCAAAATAGTAGGCCTTCAACTCGCTAAATTCATGCCATTGGAATGCAATAGTGATTATAAATTCTGGGATTAATATTATACAAAGGAAGGCACAATATTATTTTATGATATTGCCTAAATAATAATTATTAAGCCATTATTCATTATGCCCATATTAATTTATGCTAAAAAAAACTTATGCAATTCCTGGGACTGGTTCATACAAACTATTTGCGTGTTTATTTCTCTTATCCCAAAGAAGGAAGGAAGAAGCAAAAAAAAAAAAAAAGAACTTGTAGTTTTGCATAACATGAAGTAACTCTTTTATTTAATAGGAAATGAGTGTATACCTTTTTACATACTTGTGAATACATTCAAAGCTAATTGTACAGGTACCTGATGCAATTCTGCTTAGCTTCACTTGCTGCTTCCTGTTTGTTAGGAAGCTTATGATCCACTTGCAAGTGTGTTCAGCTACCTGTATCTGGTTTAGCTTAGTTAGAAGTGTGTCTGGAATGATGGTATTGAATGCTGAACTAAAGTCTACAAAGAGGACCCTTGCATAGGTCTTTGGTGACTCAAGATGTTATAGGATGTAGTGCAGTCATATTAACAGCATCATCTGTGGATCTATTTGCTCGGTATGCAAATTGCAAGGGGTCTAACAGCGGATCCGTGATGGTTTTCAAGTGGGACAGCACTAGCCTTTTAAAGGTTTTCATGACTACAGATGTAAGAGCAACTGGTCTGTAGTTTTCAGTTCCTTGATGGTGGGCTTCTTTGGCACAGGGATGATAGTAGAGCATTTGAAGCAAGAAGGAACATAGCACATCTCTAGTGATTTATTGAAAATACGGGTGAAGATGAGAGCCAAGGTCAGCACAGACTTTTAAGCAAGAAGGAGTTATCTTGTCTGGGCTTGGAGCTTTTCCTGGCTTTTGTCTGTGAAATAGGTCTTGCACTTTCTTTTCTGTGATCACTGGGGTTGTGAACCCAATGGGATGGAGTCAGTTGTAGGAGGCTTGGCTATTGTTAGGGTTGCTTTGAAAAAATATGTCTTTAATTCACTAGTTCATCACAAATGCAATCTTACAGAAAAAGTATTTTTGTCTCCTAAAAAAGTAGGACCAATAGGACATTATGGAGATCCACCACAGTTACTTGTTTTGGGATTATAGGCCAAATATTACTGATTTATACATATCATAATTTAGGGAAGGGCAGGGCAGATATAATTGCTTGTGAGTTTAATTTTTTTCTCACAGTGTCTCGATAAAAAACGTATCTACTGATCTTCAATCTTTTCATATACTCCTCTGATATGAATCATCTCACACCCATACTCAACTATATAGGTAATCATTGTAAAAACTCTGAGGGTGGGGAATCCACCGCAGTAATTCCTTTTTTGTACTTTGCATTGTTTTGTATGCTGACATATTGTATATTATTGGAAAATTTATGCTCTACTGGTTGATGAAATTGATCCCCAAGTTATAGGAATAAGCAGAGCATAAAAGTTAGGAGCACAGGACCTGACTTGAATTTCTGGAGCTTTATAGAGCTTCCTGAAAACAGAGAGTTAAATTTCACTAGCACTGATTGTGTTTCTTCCCTTTATATGTTCAAAACCACCCGATGCTATTCAAAGATGCTGAATATGTCCCAGATTTCATTTTAAGAATAAAGAGGACACACAAAGAAATGCTATGGAAGCTCTCTATGGTTGGTAGCACTGAAAAGTGATGGTGTTCAAGAAAAATTTTAAAACCTGGTTGCTCAATAGATTGATAATACCTGCCTCTGTGCTACCAACCTTAGACAGGTTCCACTCCCTCCCTCCTTTTAGGGTACTCCCCCCCCCATGTTTTTGTGGTATTCTTGTTTTTTAAACTGTAAACTCCCAGGAGTCTTTAGGAGTTAGATGACCACTAAATTGTTCAAGCAAAATCCAAGGCAGCATGCCCTAAAATCCAGCTGCTAAGAACCAATTCAGAAGGGACAACTAACTTCCACAGGTCATGTTGCTCTGGTTAGCATGTGATGAAGAAAGGTATCCTAATGGATGGTTGTGTCAGCCAACTTAATTAACAGTCAACCCCACACGAGGGATGGCAAATACAAATGAAATACAATATTGCCCTGCGTCAGGCAAAGCTATTTTCATTCATTAATCTTTTATTAGCCTAAGATGATAAAAGCCCCACCAAGCCATAACAATAATGGATCCAGGAGTTACTCCCAAGGTAACTGGGTAATCTGGTTCCTCAGGAGAGCAACCCCCGTCTCCAGGACAAGATGACAGTATTTTCGATATCTCCATCTTGTATTAACTAAGCCTCTTTCAGAAGCTCACGTCCCATCCTTAACACTGCTGAAGGATTCCTGAACTACAGGTACTGTACAGGTACAGGAACTACTACTTTTAACCATTGTTTAATGGTTAATTCCAAGTTACTATGGCACTAAAAAAAGTGATTTATGACCAGTTTTCATGCCAAAGACCATTGCAATATCCCCCATGGTCACGTGATCAAAATTTGGGTGTTTGGCAACTGGCATATATTTATGAACGGTTTCATTGTCTCAGGGTCATGTGATCCCCATTTGTAACCTTCCCAGCTAACTTCTGACAAGAAAAGTCAATGGGGGAAACTGGATTCACTTAAGAACCCCGTGATTCACTTCACAAGGTAGTAAAATGGGGCACAACTCACTTAGAACTATCTTGCTTAGGAGCAGGAATTTTGGGCTCAATTGTGGCCGTAAGTCAAAGCTTGCCTGTATATGGGGTGGTGATTGATCCTGTCTGCCTTAGTTCTAATACTACACTTTTCCATGATAAATGTTAAGTAACATTATTTAAACATAAACAGGACAGGCCCTTGATAAACAAAGAATAATATATACATTAAAGAAAGCAATCGACAAATTTGAACAATATTCCTCACATTTTTAAAATATATGGAGCTGTGGTGGCCCAGTGGTTAGAGTGCAGTACTGCAGGCTACTTCCGCTGACTGCCTGCTGCCAGCACTTTGGCAGTTCGATTCTCAACAGGCTCAAGGTTGATTCAGCCTTCCATTCTTCCAAGGTCAGTAAAATGAGGACCCAGATTGTCAGGGGCAATATGCTGACAAAATGCTTAGAGAGGACTATAAAGCACTGTGAAGCGGTATATAAGTCTAAGTGCTTTATAGAGCTGCAGACATTTGCTGTCTTTCAGAAAGCAGCACCTACACCGACACCCTCCTATATATACCAATGCAGGAGGTCTCAGGCAAATGAAGAGTGTTGTTTCCCACAAAAGAGTCTCTTACACTTGCACAACTCTGGCATCCACAGGATCGGGCTCCTTTTGCCACAGTGATAAAAACAGCACATGTTATAAACTTTATGACCTTCACATATGTGTGCATTTAAGTAAGAGTTGTAGTAAACTGGTGATTGCAGCTGCTGGCAACAGGTTTTACAGCTTTACCTCATATAGCTTTTGACTTCCTCAGCCCCTACTTCAGGTTGGATCTTTAGTAAAAGAGGAATAGGAAAAGCTGGGCATACCTAGAGGGCTGATTACAGTTACAAATGGCTCATTCGTTCCTAGCTGGCCTTGAGATCCATCCAATATCCAATATAAAGCAGTGCGAAACTTCCTTCCTCCATTCTGAAACAAAGAATGGATGACTATATGAGATAGACTCATTACATGCAAAGCGAGATAGTTCAGGCCTTGATTTGTCATACTTTTGATGATTATGGCTTACAGCTCATGAAAATCTCAGAAAATTAGAATATTGTGAAAAAGTCTAGGCTCAAAGTGTCCCACTCTAATCAGCTAATTAAGCCATAACACCTGCAAAGGGTTCCTGAGCCTTTAAATGGTCTCTCAGTCTGGTTCAGTAGGAATCACAATCATGGGAAAGACTGCTGACCTGACAGTTGTGCAGAAAACCATCATTGACACCCTCCATAAGGAGGGAAAACCTCAAAAGGTAATTGCAAAAGAAGTTGGATGTTCCCAAAGTGCTGTATCAAAGCACATTAATAGAAAGTTATGTGGAAGGGAAAAGTGTGGAAGAAAAAGGTGCACAAGCAGCAGGGATGACCGCAGCCTGGAGAAGGCCATTAAAAAGTGTTGGGGACTTTCACAATGAGTGGATTGAGGCTGGAGTCAGTGCATCAAGAGCCACCACACACAGACGGATCCTGGACATGGGCTTCAAATGTCGTATTCCTCTTGTCAAGCCGCTCCTAAACAACAAACAACGTCAGAAGCGTCTTACCTGGGCTAAAGAAAAAAAGAACCGATCTGTTGCTCAGTGGTCCAAAGTCCTCTTTTCTGATGAGAGCAACTTTTGCATCTCATTTGGAAACCAAGGACCCAGAGTCTGGAGGAAGAATGGAGAGGCACACACTGCAAGATACTTGAAGTCCAATGTGAAATTTCCACAGCCTATGTTCATTTGGGGAGCTATGTCATCTGCTGGTGTTGGTCCACTGTGCTTCATTAAGTCCAGGGTCAACACAGCCGTCTACCAGGAGATTTTGGAGCACTTCATGCTTCCTTCCACAGACGAGCTTTATGGGGATGCTGACTTCATTTTCCAGCAGGACTTGGCACCTGCCTACACTGCCAAAAGTACCAAAAACCTGGTTCAATGATCATGGGATTACTGTGCTTGATTGGCCAGCAAACTCGCCTGACCTGGCATTGCCAAGAGAAAGATGAGAGACATGAGACCGAACAATACAGAAGAGCTGAAGGCCGCTATTGAAGCATCTGGTCTTCCATAACACCTCAGCAGTGCCACAGGCTGATAGCATCCATGCCATGCTGCATTGAGACAGTAATTGATGCAAAAGGGGCCCAAACCAAGTACTGAGTATATATGCATGCTTATACTTTTCAGAGGTCTGATATTGTTCTATGTACAATCTTTGTTGTATTGATTTTATGTAATCTAATTTTCTGAGATTGTGAATTTGGGGTTTTCATCAGCTGTAAGCCATAATCATCAAAAGTATGACAAATCAAGGCTTGAACTATCTCGCTTTGCGTGTAATGAGTCTATCTTATATATTAGTTTCACCTTTTAAGCTGCATTACTGAAATAAATGAACTTTTGCACAATATTCTAATTTTTCCAGTTTCACCTGTAAGCGTCCTTCCTCCATTCTCAAATTTTTGCTGAAGTAGAAGGTTGGGTAATAAAGCCCCCTCCTTCCAATCGCGTTCGCCTCTGGCAGCCCTCAGAAACCGATCAACGATTACAATCGTCGTTTGTCATCTCACGCGGCGGGGATCATTTTTCAGCTTCCCTCACTAACTGCCGGCAGTGGATTTCCTGGGGGAATCCTGAGTCTGAGTCGAGACAGCCAAGGTCTGCAGACAGCACCAGGGGGGGGGGGCGGGAGCGGACGAAGTCTGCGTTAGTAGAAACGCAGCGCTTTTGCCTCCGCCGCCCGGGAACCCAGAAGTTTAGGTAAGGCAATTGCGCAACCACGCCAGAGCTGAGGGAGCCCAGCCTGGCCTCGCCACTGAGAAGGGGGCGGAGCTGCGGTGGGGATCCCGGCGCCTTCCGAGCATCAGCAGTGGCGGCGCGACTCTCCTCCAGCGAGCCCTCCGCACTTTCCTTCCAAAGCGAACCAACCACTTGGCGAGCCCCGCTGCTCACCACCATCGCCCACCGCAGCTTCCCTCTGGCTAAGGGCAGGGCGAGGGCGACCGCGCTGACGTCGCTCTTCTCCATTGGCCCTGGCCGGCAGCACATGCCCAAGACAGCTAAGATAAAGGCACCCGGCCCGCACCTCGCTTCTCCGTCTCTGCTTTGGAGCTTTTTTCTGTCAGCCTCCTTAGCTCGGCTCTTCTCTTCCCCGGCGGCTCGACTCTTAGCATCTCCGGCTCGGCCCAATGGCTAACATGAACATTTTCATAGGCACATGGAGGCTGGACTACAATCAAAATTTTGACATGCTTTTGGCGGAATTAGGTAAGAAAGGAAGGGAATTGGGAGTGCTGTCAAAAAAAAAAAATGTAAGGGAATTATGATAAAAACAGAAAAATTAAGCCTTCTTCTCGCAAAGGGGAATTACAGAGCTCGGATTCCTCTTCGGCTAAACATTAAAAGAAGGATGTGGATAGTATGGCTGAAAAATAGGGCAATCAATAATAATAATAATAATAATAATAATAATAATAACAACAACAACAACAACAACAACAACAACAACTTCAGGATTCAGACTGACAGGCGTTTGGTCCACAGCACGCCTGACATAACAATAGTTGAAAAGAAAAAAGTATGGTTCATTGACATTGCAATACCTGGTGATGCACGGATTGAAAATAAGCAGCAAGAAAAAAATCACAAAGTACCAGGACTTGCAAATTGAAGTTGAGCGACTGTGGAAAAAGAAATCGTGTGTTGTCCCGATTGTAATTGGAGCCCTTGGAGCAATACCCAAAGGGCTACCCCACTATTTAGAAATTCTAAATTTACCGCACTTGAACATTTTGACTCTACAAAAAACCACTTTACTCGGAACAGCTTACATCCTCCAACGATACCTTAACAGTTCCTAGGTCCTTGGTTAGGACTCGAGCTGCTGAGCTATTAACCAGCCTCAAAGGCTGTGAATCTCACTAAAGATTAACTAATCATCATCATCATCATCATCACATTTTCGTATGTATATGTTCCATTCTTGTACTCGTGTGTGTGTGTGTGTGTGTGTGTGTGTCTGTGTGTAAATTCAAAGATGCAGATGGCAATTCCCAGTGAATGTGGATCTCCTAAGTTCAATTGACCGAAAAATGTAGGATTGCTGTTAAAAACTATGTAATTCATCCTACCCTGTGCCCATCCCCCCCCTTTTTTAGGAGAAGGGTGGCTTTGTCTGTTTAAAATGGCTGCTTTGTATTAAAATGAAATATTGATTGTAGCTCAAAGTGTCTGGTGTATGTGTAGTATGCTTGTATCTCTTTCTCTGTGTCTCTGTGTGTGTCTATGTGTAGTCTGTTTTGTATGCATGCAATACTTGCATTCTGTTCAGTTGCTATGCAAAATGTGCTTTTCAGCATGCAGCCCTATTTCACCAAAACGTGCATATGGCTTTGTCATCTAGGTTGCAGTGATGGATGATGATGATGATGAAAAAGCTTTATTTTTTTTCCTTTTGGTAGTCTATAAAGATTTGGAAATATGGAATTATGAGCTTTGTGTCTCTTTTTTCAGCTCTTAAAAATGCTCTCTCCAAGCTCTGCAAAGGCATTCTCAAATAGCTTTTATAACAAGCATATAAACAGACATTGTTTCAATGGAGCCGATGAGCAAACTAAGATTGCAGCTGGGCTGCATATGAAAAGTGTGTAAGAGAGAGAGAAGGAAAACAGGACTGAATGAGTTGTCCATGTGGGGATGATGGGTTTAAATGAATACAGTTGCTCTTTTCTTGAACTTCCCCCAGGGAAGAAGAGTACTTCCTTTTTTAAAGAAATGGATTTCTGTGATATATGCTTCGCTATGTTTCTTGTATTTTACCTGACTTTGTTCAGGTCTATATTAACAGAATGTATGGTTCTAATATTTAGGAGTTTCAAATAGTTTGATTCAGCATTAGAAATGTTGCAAGATGAGCAAATTTCCTGTACCTTCATGCCAAGGAACACAAAACCGAATCTAGCAATGACAGAGTTTAGTCATCATTTTCAGTGACTCCTGCTGAAATAGAAGCTAGAAAAGTACCGAATGAACATCCTATGAATGAACTATTTTATTTGAATTTTTCTTCCCTCCCTCTCCCGTCCTTCTGGATCAATTCCACTGAAATATAGAGTTCAGTGATGATTATTTAATACATTTGGTTCCTGTAGCCAAAATATTGCACAGCGAGCTGAGTTCTGGGGCCCATTTAAATTAAAATATACTACATTTTCATTGGTCTGTACACCATATATAAATGTAGTTCCTTAACTAGGAACACCACACTACATGCAATACAAAAAGTCTGTTCCTAATCAATATTCCTGCCTTAAGACTAGACATAGGAAAATCCAGAACTCACTCAGGAAATATAAGCCAATCTGAAAGGTGGCAATTTTGTGGTCTCCAAATCTGTTGAACCCAAACTCCTGGAATGACACAAACTTCATGTTTATGGGAGTCAATTCAAAGTAATTACTCTGTATTGATTTTTTCTATGCCTTACCAGAAGTTGCTGTAATAGTGAGAGGAACAGTGAGAAGAAATATACTGACACACTGTAGAATGATTTTGTTCCAATCCTACTGAAGACTTGTGAATATGCTTGTCTCCTACAAGGATTTGAATTCTGAATAGAACTCATTTTAGGTTAGGTTGAGTTTTACAAAGTTTTGCAAGAGTGATGTGTAATTAAAATTTAATGAGAAGGGCCGGTAAGATCATTGACTGGGAAACTCCCTCTCATGCTAGATAATTTAAAAAGATCATTAATCTTGTGTGAAAGTGTCTATATAATGACTGTGCTTTGCTGAACCTATTTAAAAGTAAATTCTCTCTTCTTTTGGCAGGGATAGGTGCAATAGTTAGAGGGTTGAGAAATATGGCCAGGGAAGATACTATCATCAGCAGGAATGACAATACTTTCACAATCAAAACTAAAAGCACTTTCAAGAACTCAGAATTCAGCTTCAAGTTAGGTGAAAAGTTTGATGAAAACACGATAGATGGTCGAAAAACTCAGGTAAATGAGACTGTAACCCAGGGAACACACCAAGTATATGACATGTTAAACTGATTTTTAACTATTGCGTTCAATGACTCCTGAAGTCGAATAATGTCATTACCTCCACAAAAATACAGATTCTGCTGTTTTAACTCAAATATCTCAGCAGTAGCAGTCCCAAACTAGATTCTTGACTTACAAACTAGTCCATTATTCCCAGAATATGCCCAAACTACTCCTAATTTAAGAACTTTGTGCTATGCTGTTTTGATCTGAGAGTGCTGGTGAGTTTTGTAATATGAAGAAATTAATTTAAGAACTTAAGCTCAGTCCGCATCAGTAGTGGGATTCAAATTTTTTTACTACCGGTTCTGTGGCCGTGGCTTGGTGGACGTGGCTTGGTGGGTGTGGCAGGGGAAGGATACTGTAAAATCTCCATTCCCACCCCACTCCAGGGGAAGGTTACTGCAAAATCCCCATTTCTTCCTGATCAGCTGGTACTCAGGAGGCAGAGAATAGAAGGGGGCAGGGCCAGTCAGAGGTGGTATTTACCGGTTCTCCGAACTACTCAAAACTTCCGTTACTGGTTCTCCAGAACTGATCAGAACCTGCTGAATACCACCTCTGGTCCACATGCTTAAGAATGCCCACTGAATACCAGCAGAATCATTTGCACTGCAAACAGCATTGATTACCAGTTCTCCAGGTGCCAGAAAAGTGCATTTATGCTCAAGTATAATTTTTTATGGATCAGTATGATGTTGTTTAGTTTCAGTTCTTAGATTAAAACTCATTTGTCCCAGTTGTTTTAACAAATCTACCTTCTTCCAAAATCCAGTTTTTTAGTCTTTTGCTCCTGAAAAATGGTAAGTGTGGCTCTGGCCTATAAAACAATGCCACAATTGCCATGAACAGTTAAATCTATATGGCTGTGATGGCAAACCTATGGCACACCTGCCACCTGTGGCACGCAGAGCCATATCTGTGGGCACGCAACCGTTGCCCTAGCTCAGCTTCTGTGCGTATGTGCGTGCCGGCCAGCTGATTTCTGGGCCTTCCGGGCCCATAAGTGGGAAAAAGGGCTGTTTCCGGCCTCCGGAGGGTCTCCGGGGAGGGGGGGGAGGCTGTTTAATTTAATTTAATTTATCGCATTTCTATGCCGCCCATCTCCCAAGGGACTCTGGGCGGCTTACAGCAAAAATAATGCGAACAATGTTTTTGCCCTCCCCAAGCTTCAAGAAAGCCTCTGGAGCCTGGGGAGGGTGAAAAATGGGCCTACAGGGCTCACTGTGCCATCATGTACCAAAAGTGGAGGAAGTGCAGGGTGGTCATGCATGCATGTGCAGGGGATGGGGCACATTGAATTATGGGTGTGGGCACGTGCATGCGACGTCCCACGCTTCCCTCGCTTTTGGCATGCGACTGCAAAAAGGTTAGCCGTCACTGCTATATGGGAAAACACTGGAATAAAGAGCTTCTCTGGACAGTGTATTCAGTTGTCAGGCACCCCCACATTGTAAAATGCATTTTTCTATTCATCAGTGATCACACCTAGAGGAGTTTTGCCACTGTTCTTGTGTATACAACCACACAGATATGTGTATCCCTTCCCTGTCATTTTGTGCTCATTTTAATTGTTACAGCCAACTTCTGGTGGCTGTGCTGAACTAACTCTTTGAGCTGAATCTAAGCCGGATGCAAGAGCTGGTGCATTTGCAAAATAGGGGATAAAACTCATAACATTATCCTCAATTTACATATGTCTGCAAAGGCAATTACCACAAATAAATAAACAAAAATCTTAGAAATAAAGCTCAAACTCAAGAATGTGTAATAGAGAACAGTTTTGTAGACTGAATTTTACAAATATTATCTTTACCTGGATCCACTGTATAAACCAGGAGAGCTGATCAGCTTGAGGGTAATTTGTGGTGTTTATGTTTCTGGGTAATTGTCTCTAAGTAAGCCTTACCAAGTGGTACTTTTATTACAGTGTCAGGCATGTAGATAACCACAAAGTTGGGGATGTCTGTTCTAATATATATTTTTCTGTCATTTTTTTATACACACAGAGGAAAAATCATGAATGCGCAGGAAACCACCACCACAATTTATCCCAGGTTCTTGGGAAGGACTTGATAGTGTCAAATCCAGTGTAACATCAACTATAATAATAACAGTTGACAACATTAAGCACACTAAAGTAAAAACAGAGGTTAGAAGGGAATAAGAAGGTCTTAAAATCCAAGCTTAGTGGAGGAAATGCCATCAAGGAAATGAACACAGCTGGAATAGTAGACTGGACTCAAGCAGAACTGAAAGCCCTAGATAGGAAGACCAGAAAAATCATGACAATGAATCATGCTCATCACCCACACAGTGAACATGCTGGGCATGGAATGTTGCAAGTACTTCAGACAGCTGAAGAAGAAGAGAAAAGGGCATTGAAAGAATATTTGAAGGATGGTAAAGAAGATGCACTGAAACTTGTGTATCATGAAGGCTTACTGAATACCTCAGATAGCAAAGCAGCCTACAAAAAACACCAAATGAAGAATAGAAAAAAGACACAGCAAGGCAAAATATCATATGTCCACTAAACCCCCCCACACAGAGAAACCCTAGCTGCATGCTGTGTACGTCACCAGAAGCCCCCAACAAGCAAAGTCAATGGGGAAGCTAGCAGGAGGTCCAAATGATTATCATGGGCTAATGGGGTGCTGCAATTGTCATAATTGGAAGCTGGTTGCCAAGTGCCCAAACCACAATCATATGACTGCAGGGACTCTGTGATGGCTGCAGTCACAAGGATCTATCATAAGTTTCCTTATTCAGCACCATGATAACTTCATAATTAATATCCACATGTTAAGCATTGGTTGCTTAACAACAGCAACTGAAAGTGCCAGAACTGCCACACACATGTGATATCGTGCTTTACAGCTACATTGCTTAGTGACACAGTTTTGTATTTCAGTTGCTATTGTTAACCAAAGACTACCTGTATAATCAAGAATAATATAAGAATTTTTAATTCAGAGTGAAATCAATCATCTAATCTAATATGAGCAGGTCATATAGGACAAGTTGAAAACATACGAGCAAAATATCTCATCTACAGATTTGCAGCTCTATTATATATTAAATAAGCAATACCTTATATTAAGATCAGAGGAAACAATTTCACATAATTTAAAGCAATTTTCCATTGGTTTATAATTACTATTTTTTAAAAAAATAATTATTGGAGTAGGAACCACAGTATCACTAGAGCCTGCCAACCATCATGGAACTTCAGAAGCAGCAATCCCAGCAGGATAAAATGGAGTATTATGTGAGAGTTTCAGATTAGCCACAAAAAGCACAGATTTACTCATTGTTTTAAACAACAACACAACAACAAAAAGCCAAATGTTTTTCTGTTGAAAAAATGGAAATAAAAGTTCAGCAGTGGGAACTGTAGAAAACTGAGAGTAGATATATGATAATGATGAAAGATAACTATACTATGAGTCAAAGGAACACATTTTGGGGTGCTGTTAAGATTAGGAATGGGGACAACATAGTCAGGTCCATCATGGGGCAATGAACTGAGACATTTTCTTTAGGATGAAAGGCTCTCCATATATCTATTAAATTTAGTTCCTCTGCCATATTAAAAAACGTTTTGGGTAATATATTCCTTTTCTTCTTATTATCTTTACGGCTGGCGTAATCTTTTTTAGTATCTATTATCCCATTATAATCTCCCACGATACAAATATTTCTGTGGCCTATCATAATTATTTTTTCTTGTATTTTTTTATAATAATCCCCCTGGTTTTTATTAGGCGCATAAATAACTACTAACAAAAATGATAAAAATTCTCTCTTTATTTCCAACATTAACGTTCTTCCTTTAGAATCCACATAGATTTGTTTAGTTATTATCCGTCCCTTAACATATATCGCCACCCCTTTCTTTTTCTTTTCAGATAAAGCTGTATATAGCTTCCCCAACTTGCTATATTCCAAATACCTTTCATCTTGTTTCCGAATATGCCTCTTGGAGGCATATTATATCTACTTTTTGCTTAGCTAACTTTGTAAATATCTGTCTTCTTTTTGTTGTTGCATTTAATCCATTTATGTTTATCGATATAAGCTTCCAGTCTTCCATTCTTTAGTCTTTCTGTCTGGTAATAATATCTGTTTGCCCTTGTAATCTGGGTTCTTGTTTTACTACCTTTTATATCTTAATTCTCTTTTTCTTCCTTGTTCTTCTTTTCTAGGGCTCCCTCTTTGGCATCTCGTTGGTGTGGCAATTCTTCTTCCTGGCTTATGGTCTCCACTTCCTCCTTGCTGCGCTGCTCCTCTTTGTTTCCTGTCAGTTGATCCAAAAAATTTTGTGCCGTCACTAAACTATCTATTTTCAATTTCTTGCCTTGCCATGTGACAGGTATCCCTTCTGGAAGTATCCATCTAAACATGATATTTCGTTTGTTCAGTTGTATTGCCAGAAAATGATAATCTTTACGCTGCTCTCTTACTCTACTGGGAACTTGCTTCAAAGTGATGATTTCTTTACCCTTATATATCATAGATTCTTCTCTGGTTATATTGTATACTATATCATAGATCCTTTTTCTAACAAATCTGATATGGACCTCTCTGGGCAATTTATGGCGTCTGGCATAGTTTGTCTGAATTTGGTATACCTCATCTATTTCTGGAACAATTTTTGTTTATCTCTCTGTAAGGATTCTGCAATAATCTCCGCCATTATTTGTTCAAGATTTTTTGCCTCAATCACGTTTTGGAATCTCAGGTAAAACGATTCCCTGTCCATTTCCAGCTGGATCATTGAATCTTCAAGGTCTTTGTTTAGGGCCATCATCTTTTGATCTACCTGATCTAATTTTCTTTCAGTTTGCTCCGCCTTGGCCTCTACAATTTTTATTTTTTGTTCATTCTGCTGGATTGCTTCTTGGATTGCATTCATTTTACTGTCTAAATTCTGGATATCAACTTTCATTTCACTGTGATTACTAAACATCGTTTCCTGCATTTTAACCATTGTCTCTTGTATTAGCATTAAGGCAGCTTGCATTGTTTGCATGGTTGGAGCTGTAGTAGACTTTTCCATTTTTGAAGGCCCCTCAGTCGATCGTTGATTTGAAGGAGACACCATTGTTGTCATTGGATTCAATGCTGTTTTCTTCCCTGCCTTTAAGGTTGTAGTAGTGACACTAGTCATTTCTTTCAATATTCTACTTTGCGCTCCCAAAATCTTATAAATATTTTTTCACACTATAATATGGAAAAAATATTTTTCCACACTATCATCAACCATCTTCGAGACCGCCTTCTGCCGCATAGCTCCCAGTGACTGGTAAGATCCCACAGAGTTCGTCTCCTCTGGGTCCCGTCAGCTAAACAATGCCGGCTGGCGGGCCTGCAGGGGAGGGCTTCTCTGTGGCTGCCCCAGCTGTCTGGAACCAGTTACCTCCTGAGGTCCGGACCATCCCCACCCTATTGGCCTTCCGAAAAGCGGTGAAGACCTGGCTTTTCCGGCAGGCCTGGGGCCATTGATCTCGCTCTTGTGATCTGACAAGATCCGGCCATGAATGGTGTGAATGACTTTTTAATGTTTTTAATTTTTAAATTTTTTTTATAATGATTTTTTAAAATGTATTGTGAGCCGCCCTGAGTCTTCGGAGAGGGACGGCATAAAAATTGAATTAATTAAATTAAATTAATTAAATTAAATTAAATTAACTTGCCTTTTTTCTTCTTCTTCTTATTTCCCGCAGTTGTTTTTAGTATCACTATGAGGAAGTGCAAATATAGTAAATAACAAATAGCAAATATCAATCGACTACATAGTCTATATTAATATATTCTATACTAATTAATCAAATTAATCAAAATATCAGTCCTCACTTCTTCTCCGCCTTTCAGTCCTGTTCCTATCACCTTCTGTCACTTTACGCTATCGGCTCTCTCACCTTCTTTGCCTTCAATTTTCTTTTAATTCTCAGTTCTCACCAACTTTTAATAATCGTGCCTTCACTTCATGAATTCCACTCTTTCTCCTTGTTGCCGTCTTAACAGTTGAGTATATTATGCTGAGTCATTCTCCATCCGCCAAGTTGCCGCTCACTCTCTCGCTGGAAATCTTCTAACCAGAAAAGACCGGACCCAGTTTTTCAAAACAATCTTTAATCTTGCGATGTTCCAAATAATCACTTAAAATGACACCATCTGCTTCGAAAATATTCTCTTCCCTGTACTCACTGGCTCATCGCAGCCTCAGCCGTCAGACACATTCGCGTTGTATCGACAAGGGTGTCCATTCATGCAGCGAGTGATCGCCCTTCACTTCACCACACTCTGGACTCCCCCTCTAGTCCGCAATGCCCTCCAGGCTTTTTGCACCCCAAAGTGTCCCCAAAACACAAAAAATCCAGGGTTGAAGAATAGAGACCGTTCTCCTTCCTCCGCCACGCTGCGAATTACCAACCGGAAGTTTGCTTCTGGTTTTGATTGTGTACCACACTCAAGACAAATTGAAAATCAACACATGAAGGAAGGAGCACACTACTAAAATTCTGTCTTCCTTTACAGACCCTCATCACTTTAGATGATAACAATGTATTGACCCAGGTCCAGCAGTGGGATGGCAAAGAATGCACAATAACAAGGAAGGTGGACGATGGGAAACTGATAGTTGTAAGTAGAATTTTTTCTGTCTCTTATGCTAAATTTGTACACTATAAATGAAATGTAACTTACCTCAAATACCATAAATATCCACCTACCTTATCCTGCTTCCCAACAATCGGTTTGTAAAAAGAGAATGAATATAACTGTCAGGTATGCTTCCTTCAATATCCAGGAAAGGAAAACCCAAACTCAATCATTTTGAAGAGATTAGTACTTTTACTGAATATGAAATGATCGCAACCCAGGTAAAGCTGGAAGTGAGCAAAACATGCGAAATAGCATCTACTAAGCTTCTCCCCCCCCACCGTGTCCATTGACCATCAGCCAATCCAAAGGTCTCCCAAAGGTCAGGTGGCATCACGTCTGGCAACGTCATTCATCAGGAATGTAGGGCAGTTGGTCAGCCAGCCCCTTTTGAAGATTCACTTTCGTTTCTTGGGAAGACACGTCCTACAATGGATAAAACACCTCCTGCACCTTCCCCCCCCTTTCGCCCCCCTTATCTAATCCCTCCCCCGTTTCTTATGGCAGCTGAAGCAGGCAAAGCTGAGGCTGACATTAACTTTTTATTTTCCAGGAATATGCCTTCAATGGTGTCAAATGTACTCGTGTTTATAAAAAAGTATGAAGAGCTTGATGTCTATGTTAGAGAGTGGCAGATCATTCTCGAAAGAGGACTAGTCCATATTTTTTTTCTTTTTTCTTCTTCTTACTAAACTAGATTTAAAAAAAAAAAACTCTATCATGTGCAAGAAACAGTGTTGTATGCAATTTAAAGTCCTTGATGACAATGATTAAATTTTAAAAATTCTAAGAGATTGTAACTGTGTTATTCTTTGTGAAATATTCCCCTCGCCCTTTTAAGAAAGTTTAGGAAATTGAAATTAGATAAATAAAATAGTAGGAAAAGTGTTAAAATATATTCAAAAATGAATGCACAGATATAATGTGAATTTATGCATTATTCCCTGAAAGCAGACCTCATTAGTAATATTAATACACTGCACTAAGTAATTACATAGCTTGTTTCTATTTGTAATATGATGCTGAAACTTGCCATTGTGAGTTATTCAATAAATCATGATTAAATGAGGCTGTGATTTAGAACAGGGGTGTCAAACTCATGGTCCACAGGCCATCTGCGACATGTGCTGCCATGCCCACTCCCAGTTTATAGAAGGGGATAAAAGCCATGATACGTCACATGATGATGTGATGCCGTCAGTTTGACACCCCTGATTTAGAATAATGTGTTCATCTACTTATTCTGTTTAAAAATACAACACCAAAATCCCTTCCCTGTATGCAATTGAGCTGAAAAACAGTTTGAACTGCTGGACTCTGGAAATACAATCAGCCATCACTGGAACAGCAGTTAAACACACACAAATAGTCAGAAAAAATGGACAAGTAGTTATGACTGGCATACTGTAGGGTAGTTTTTCTCCAACCTAGAACCAGTTGCAGAGTTGCAGATCTACCATATTGGAATTGCACCAGATCAGAGGACCACTCCAACACAGCAAACACTGTGCCTCCAACATTTGCCTTGCTGCCAGCTTTACTAAACTTTTGTGTGATGCTCAGTGCTGTCTTTCTTTGAACACAGAGCCAATTTATTTATAAATAATGCTGCATTTCAAGGGGAAACACACCAAGGTTTGCAGAGCTTGGGGAAGGTAATCAATTTCCAATGAGGGCAATTCTTGCCTTACACAACTACACAAGGCCACTGATATCTCTGGATCAAATAGCTGAAAGTCTGCTGAGTGAAAGTCAGTAATTTTAGGCTTTCATTCAGTTCTTTTTCACACAATGGTTCCAGGGGTGATATTCACTTACTTTCGCTACTGGTTTGCAAATGTGAGTCCGTGCGCCACCTCTGCGCATGCGCAGAGCCTTCCATGCATGCGCAGAGCGTCAAAAACAGGACTTGATAATGTCCGGGTGGGTGGGCGGAGCCTCCCGCAGCAGCCATTACTGATTTGCCTGAACTGGATAGAACCGGCTGAATCCCACCACTGAACTGTTCCAAGAAGCTGTGGGAAGAAAGCATTTTTTTTGTTATCCAGCTTTGTTCTTGATTATGATGCAAAAACTTGTAGGATGTTTTCTTGTTTTCACACCTGCTACAGCTTTAAGTGCTAGAACCTCAGGCAGTTGCCATGAAGAAGTGACTCCAGGAAAGCCACAAATCTTTCTTTGATAGTTTAACCATGCTCCTGGAATCTTATCATTTCTAAAGCTGCTCAGAACAGATGGCTGAAGCAGATTGCTTAGATTAAACATACACCAGTGGATTCCAACTGTTTTGATCTATTTATTAAAGTCCTATCTTTGGAATAAAAAAAATTATTCTTGAAACATGGAGGGATTTAAATACTCTCCCCAGATGTTTTCTTTGTGTTTATTTAAATTTTTCCAGTGCAATAAACATTTTTAACCATTGTTTTAGAACTAAGAACCAGTGATCATGTTATCTACCCCTGTTTTGAAATGGATCATTTGTACATTTCAATGCCACATTTTCTTTACTCAGAGCAATTTACAGCATTTGATCTGCTGATATGGTTTATAATGGCTTTAGATGAGAAAGGATTAACCTGAATCTTATTCTATCCATCTTCAGTAAAGTAAAGTCACCTGAACTCAACAGGGCTTACTTGTAAATAATTATACCTCCATCCAATCCAAAGTTCATGCAGCACACAACATTTGCTAGATCATATTTAGTAAGGATATCCAGATCTTCAGATTTGACTCCCAAGTGATGCTTAGGAACATGTAATCCTGAACATAGCATTTATCTGCAACTCTTTAAAATAGCTGCATCTTTTCCCAAAATCACATAGATGTTTATGCATATGGCAAACAATCTTTTTGGAAGTGAATCCAAAGTATTGCATATTATTCATTTCGAACAAAAGGCCATTATATCATTCAGATTGAATTGCCATCTCTTAGCTAATGTAAAAACTATTAAGAACTGTTTTAGGTGGCAATTAGCATATAGAAGAAATTCTCTTTTATTTCTTAAAATTCTTTATTTCAATTTAAAGTGAACTGGGATTAATATTTTCTGTGATACTCAGAAATCAGAATTACGCTCCCCACCCCCACCCCCGAAATGTCAGTTCTATTTTTCATTTGACAAAGAAACAGATTAATTTTCATTTTAGACAGTTCTGAGTATTGCATATTGAATCAACATAAATAGTAATTCAAACAACTATAGTTAAAATAGGTCAAAGCAAGCTGTGTTCATTACAGGTAGAAGGTTGGCATTATTTTTCACCAAGCAATGACTTTGAATTGAAGATATTGGCTATTTGGCACCAGTCCCCTTCTTCTTAAGTAATCCTTGAAGTAATCCATGAAGTATTTTTTATTCCTCTTTAGAAGAATTAACAATTACCAATTAATGTGTTGTCTCTTACATCACATTACATACATTGCACACATCCTGCTTTGGTGAGTGTGAGAGTCCAGTTCTTCAAACAAATCTCATCTTGAGATCTGGATCAATTAGAATAGCAGATGATCAGAAGTATTTGACAAAGAGCTTCGTGGGGAAACATGAAACTCTTCCCACCCACCCCCTATTTCCCTCCCTCCCTCCCTCTTGAATGATTCATAGTGCAAGTATCTGCCCATTACTGCACATGCCAGCTGTTGTCTGGGCTGCTTTTGAAGATGGCTTTGCTTCTCTTTTAGAAGACAACAAAAAGACCACAACTCTCTTGCAAGAGCAGTAAACCATTTTTCAAAAGTAACTCAAAGAAGGACTGACAAGTGGTGCAGTTCCATACCATGAACTTTTGAGATGTTGTTTTGCTACCAGCTATTCAAGGTGACCCAGGTATCTGATAGGCTTCTCTGCCCCTGTTGAGACCCAGGCTGGAGAGGTAGCAGATGGGGTAGGGGAATCCTGATTGATGTCTAGCTGTCTTTCAAACCATCACAAAACACAGTAGAGATGTTACTGGAGACATTTATAAAAGGGAAGGGGCAATCTGGACATGACAACATAGAATAACAGAGATGGAAGGGACCTTGGTGGTCTTCTAGTCCAACCCCCTGCTCAAGCAGAAGGCAGTATAACATTCTGGACAAATGGCTGTCCAGTTTCTTCTTGAAAACCTCTAGTGATGGAGCAGTTACAACTTCTGGAGGCAAGGCATCCCACTGATTAATTGTGCTCACTGTCAGGACATTTCCCCTTAGTTTTAGGTTGGATCTCTCTTTAATGATCTACCTTGTATTACTTCTAGTCCTGCCCACAGGTACTTTGGAGAATAAGACAATTTCTTCTTTGCTGTGACAGCCTCTCAAATACTGGAAAACTGCTATCATATGACCCCTAGTCTGTCACTGCGTTTTTGTATTTACCAGCTGAGCTCATTATTTCTGGACTGTCAGACTTTCCGTAGCTTGCCAAAATTTCTTATCAGTGACTGATACTACGTGTATTCGCATTCCTTTCTTTCCACTTCACTTTTTTTTTTCTTTGTTCTCTTGCCAAGAGAAGTCCGGCTACTGAGAAGTAGCCGATAGGAACTTTGCAAAAATGTAACAATTAAATATTTAGATAGTTAGATGTTTTATTTTCTTTACAATAAATATGAGTTTATTAGAAGATGTATTCCGGTTTTATTTTATCAAAAGTATACACAAGGAAATGCCACGATCCAGGCAATTACCCCAGGAAGGTAACGGGGCTAATTGCTTCTGACATAGTCCTTCTCTTCATTAGACTAGACATATCCAGTTTTCTTAATCATTCATCATATGATTTAGCCTCCAGATCCCTTATCGTTGCTCTTCTCTGTATTCTTTCTAGAATCTTAGTATTTTTTTTTTATTGTGGGGACCAGAAATGGATGTGGTATTCCAAGTATCATGGTCACAGAACTTGACACTTTCTGTAGCTAAAAGATGAGAATCGGAAAAGCAACAGAATTAGAATAAATTCGTATATGTTTAATTTTTTTCTTGGCTCATAGAGTATTTTAACTGATAGCTGTTTATCTGAACCCTCAATCTTGTTTCAGCACATTGATCAATATCTGTCTGTCTATCACCTGCTTCTATAAATGAAATACCATTTCTTCCAGAACTCCAAAATTGTGAGAATAATCTTTCATGGCTAGAAAACCTGAAAAAAGAGCCTAGGATGGTTTTTTTTTAGAAAAATATGGTGCCAGAGTCTAAACAATCTTTATACATTGTTAAATCCTCTTAAACAATATATTCAGATGCATAGAAAGAAGGAACGGGAAGATTTTCTCTCTTCCAGTTCATATTTACACAGAGACTCAATATTTCTAGCAGATTCCTCATATAAAAGCTAAACTTTCTGGTATGATAGTAGACTAATGCGGCAGAGTAAATGTTTATTCTCAGCTAATGGATTGATCTGCTAATTTTACACACAGGACTTATGTTAGAATATAATATAGTTAAAGTGCCAAAAACTTAAATTGTAGTTAACCACAGTACTTCCTGTAAGATTTATTTATACTGACAAGAATTGCAACTCTTGCACTTCTTAAAGTTACTTTAGGGTGGCCCTCTCTCTATCACATTCTAGGTAGATTGGACTACAATGCCTATCAATACCCACCGTGGTACTTTTTTAAAAAACCTCAAATATCTTTATTCCAAGCAGTTCTGTAGCCTATAGACAATTATAGTCTGTTCCTTCTGCTTCACTCTAGGAGATCTTTTGAAGAATAGAGACTGACAGAGAGGATGAGGGGAAATAGCTTTGTAATCAACAGACAAAATAATAAATAATGGCATAACAATGAAACTGAAGTCTCAATTGGAGAAAGAAAAAAATTGAGATTTTGTGAAACGTAAGATCAACAAAGCAGAGTTAAACATGTACATGTCCTGGTGATTTAATGTTCTGCCTTTGCTTCCTAGCTTGTCATGAGTTCAGAATAGTTATATTCTTGCAAAAGTTTCATTACCAAACTAGTTAACATCATCAGTGCTAATAAACAACGGATTTGGTCTCAGCCACCAAAACCATTCCCACCAACTCTGACTGACCAAGCCACTAGTGTATAAAACGAGGGCAAACCCCAGTCCCTAGTAGAACTGAAGACGTTACCTAATTTGTAATGATATGTCTGCAAGAAAACAACCAAGTTCAGAGAGCACCAAAGACCCTACAGTTCAATCCTAAAATATAAATATTCTGTTCTATAGGTATCAAAATAGTTAAAAATAAGCAACCTTTTTTTCATTATTATCATTAACAGTAATGTCTTTTTCAAATTGTTAACTAAATTCTGGAGACAGATTTCAATGAAGATTCTCAATCATCCACAGCGTGATTATCCCAAAGATGCCTTTTCCAAAAGGCAACTGGATTTTCTTGATTTTTTCCTTTGAAAAAGTTGCACTTCTCATTCAAGAAGCATCTTCTCTTCTGGAGAAAGATAAAAAAGGTCTCCCTATCCTTTTAAAAATTGTGAATTAGAGAAAGCTGGTGGTTTTTTCTAGGACCTTCAGAAAGGACAAATATTTTAGCTTACACATCCCATGAAAGTCTCATCCCACAGCTCCAATCTGAATTCAAAACTTCCATCAATATTGTTGTCTTTAAAATAATATATTAAGTAAATTGCAACACTTCTTTAGATGTATTACAATACGTGATTATATGCAATAATACAAATTCTGCAGCAAATTTAAATCCTATTTCACCTTGTAAACAAAGATAATTGGGTTAAAAGTGCTAAGTAATTCTTTGTTTTATCTTATTAAACCAACCATGGTTTATTAAATTAGTCACAGTTGGCTTGATTTACACATTGCATTGATCCATTTACCATTTTCAAACTAGAATGGACTGGTTCACACAACTCCCTATGTGGCATTCTTAAGAGGGAAAGGCAGAAATAGCTGCCAAGTGTCCCTCTGGTGCTCCCTTTTCTTTTTCCTTTATCCTACCATAGGCATTGAGGTATGTGCATGTGAGATAGGAACAACAAAGCAGAAGAGAAAAATTCAGTCTTATCTCACAAGAGAAATGCTATCATTCCTTTACTAGCTGTTTTCACACCAAAAATATAAACATATCAATCAAAACGAAAAGTTTCACTTGTGGTTGGGGCACCTGTTACAGAAATAGCAGCAAAGCTGAGGACTTTTGCCATCTTGCTGCAACTTCTACAGGAAATTAGGCTTATTTTGTTCTGCAAATGTCCCATTTCAAGAGGCAACTGGACTTTCTGAGTTTTCTTTGAAGACGTTTTGCTTCTCATCCAAAAAGCTTCTTCAGCTCTGACTGAATGGTGAGCTGAGGAAGCCTCTTGGATGAGAAAGGAAACATCTTCAAAGAAAAACCAGAAAGTCCAGATGCCTCTTGAAAAAGCACCTTTGAGACAACCATGACCTGGATGATTGAAAATGTGCCAAATGTTTTGTGTTCATACAACGAACTAACCCCAACCAAACCACACTACTGCAAAAACCAAACCACATTAGGATAATGTGTGTTTCATACTATTTTCTTCATACTTGTCTTTATTGAATTATGAGTCGGTCCCTGAAAACAGCAGATGCATACAGGAGGTCCTTGACTTACGACTACAATTGAGCCCAGAATTTATGTTGTTAAGTGAGACATTTAAGTGAGTTTTGCCCCATTTTACGACCTCTCTAGTGACAATTGTTAAGGGAATCATTGAAGTTGTTAAGTTAGTGGCATAGTTTTGAATCTGGTTTCCCCATTGACTTTGCTTGTCAGAAGGTGGCAAAAAACTATTCACAAGACTGCAGGACAACTGAAACTGTCATAAATATGAACCAGTTGCCAAGCATCCACATTTTGTTCACATGACCATCGGGATGCTGCAACGGTTGTAAATGTGAAAAATGGTCATAAATCACTTTTTTTCAGTGCGGTTGTAATTTCGAACAGTCACTAAAAGAATTGTTATAAGTCGAAGACTTCCTGCACTCCTTAAGTAACAGCAGGTGAAAATACCCAATTACTTGCCAACTTCAAAGAAATGAATGGAAAGATAAAATGTACAGTCTGTGAAGAGAAATGTCCTTTTTCATGCCACATGATAGGAAATATGAGAGAAATGAAAGCATATAGAATAGATGTGTGTGGTGTTTTCTAAAGAGTTACGGTACTTTGCAACATATATTTTTATTTATTTCTGTGTATCTCACCTTTATTCTTTTTACAAATAACTCAAAGTGGCGAGTAAACATATCCAACACATTTTCCTCCCCTTAATTTCCCCATAACAACAATCCTGTAAGGTGGGTTGGGCTGAGAAAGAGTCACTGGCCCAAGGTCACTCAGTTGGCTTTAATGGCTAATGTGGGACTTTAACTCACAGCCTCCTGGTTTCTAGCCTGGTACCTTATAACCACTAGACCAAAGTGGTTTTCCAGATATAAGCAGAATTAAAGATTCCTCTTTGAATCTTTAATGTGACTTCCTCATATTTGTAAGGCTTGTTAGATAGTTTGAAAGCTCTTCCAGTTTTTCTTACATAGATACACATACATATGCTAATACATGTTAAATTCATGCTAATTTCACATACAACTAAGGTAGTACTACAATTGTAGTACTTATTTCCCATGTGGTTGTCTTTTTTTACCACTAGATGGCTTATTGTAACTTCTAGTAGCCACTGTAGATTACCAATGAAATTATTTTAACAAAAACAATAGGATGTCACTATTTAAAAAATAATGTAGAATTTTACCAGAAACAGATGAGAAAGTACGAGTACAATTGAAAACCATGCTTTGAAACATGTCTGATCATGTTTATTCAAGTCCTCTTTAAATCTGTAGGGTTTATTACCTGGAGCCCGGTATGTGGATTGAGACCATGGTGATTAGGGTTTTTGTCTCCTGGAGTTAAAAGACTTTTTGGAGGATTCTTTTTCCATTAGGTGTTTGAACTTGGTTTGGACACTTAGTACGAAATGTTGTATATCAAGCCAATTGGTGCCAATTGTTTTTGGAAATGGAAGTGGGCAAGAAGAAGTGGGCAAGAAGTGGTGACCCCGAGTGTGTAGATTACAGATTTTGTCCTTCACATTTCCAGTTAATATTAAAATTCATTATTTGAAATCCTGGAATCTGCTGTCATTTAATTTTTATAGTATTTGGCTACATCTGTATTTCTCAATCTTGGCATATTTAAGATGTGTTGACTTCAACTTCCAACATTCTCCAGCTTAGTATAAGAATTCTGAATTTGGGAGTTGAGAAATACTGGGCTACATTGTGGAAGAATTTTTTCAGTGAAAGGCATCTCATATCCTAGCTTTAGGTTTGTATTGCCACCCCTTCTTTAGAAAGCTGATTATTTCAAATTGAATCTCATATATCTGTGTGCATAATTTATCATTTAATGTTCAAATGAAAGGAATTGTCCTAGCATTATTGTTATTCTTACTGAAAATAACATTCCTAAATATCTATCTGATTTTGTAACATAGAACTGTTAACACTCACTGATTGCTTTTTATTTTCCTCCTATAATTAAATTATTATATTTCTTTTCTAGCTGATGGTGAGAGATTGGTTATGAAAGGAGCCAATTTAACAACTCAAGAGATGTTAAATGCATTCAACTCTAGATGTCAAAAGAAAGAACTTGCGGTAGCAGAATAGCCACCACCATAGACTACTTGAAACTGACGATAGAAGAGTTTGCATCAATATTATAAATGCATACCAATCTACATGAAACTACACTCAGAAAAATGGCAAGGACTTTCCTAATAACCGAAAGAATCTAAAGTGGATATATAGAGGAGGCAAACTGATTCTGGTTTTAAAAAATGCTTTTTGGACTTTTGATTAAAGATTAAACTCTTAACACCTTATCAGTGTTAGATTAACATCATTTTTATTAGTATAGAGGGAGTAGTGACTTCCCTTTACAAGGGAAGATTCTACAAGGGTTTAGAAGAATAAACTTAGGAATGGTTGGAATCAGAAATTTAGTCTGGAGAAAAGAAAGCTACAGTGGACTTGCTGTCTTCAAGTATCTGAAGGTTGTCGTGTAAATAGGCAAAATCATTCAGTTCTAGAAGACAAGAACCTGAGTTTAATTTAAAAGGAAACAGATTTAAATTGGACCTGAAACAAAAATTCCTAACAGGTAAGAGCGGTTAAAACAATGGAATAATTCACATAGGGAGGTCTCCACTTTTCTATACTTAAACAGTGTCTAGGTGGCCATCTGTCAAGGTTGTTGTGGATTTGCTTTGGGCAGGGATTGAACTAGATGAACCTCAACATCTCTTCCAACCCTTATATTTTATGATTCTTTGTATAATCTATATGTTATCCATAACTGGGAGATACTTACACGATTTTTCTATTTTGAAGATGAGACCCTTCTCCCCAAGATTTGTAATTGATTCCATATGGACATTTCTGTCCAGTGGAGTCAGAATTGTATTCAAATAGAGTGGAGTGGAGTGGAGTGGAGTGGAGTGGAGTGGAGTGGAGTGGAGTGGAGTGGAGTGGAGTATAGAATAGAATAGAATAGAATAGAATAGAATAGAATAGAATAGAATAGAATAGAATAGAATAGAATAGAATAGAATAGAATATTTTATTGGCCAGGTGTGATTGGACACACAAGGAATTTGTCTTGGTGCATATGCTCTCAGTATACATAAAAGATACATTCATCAAGAATCATAAGGTACAACACTTAATGATAGTCATAGGGTATAAATAAGCAATCAGGAAACAATATCAATATAAATCCTAAGGATACAAGCAACAAAGTTACAGTCATAAGTGGAAGGAGACGGGTGGTGGGAACGATGAGAAGATTAATAGTAGTGCAGACTTAGTAAATAGTTTGACAATGTTGAGGGAATTATTTGTTTAGCAGAGTGATGGCATTTGGGAAAAAAATGTTATAGTGTCTAGTTGTTCTGGTGTGCAGTACTCTATAGCGTCATTTTGAGGGTAGGAGTTGAAACACTTTATGTCCAGGATGTGAGGGGTCTCTAGATATTTTCACAGCCCTCTTTTTGACTCGTGCAGTATACAGGTCCTCAATGGAAGGCAGGTTGGTAGCAATTGTTTTTTATGCAGTTCTAATTATCCTCTGAAGTCTGTGTCTGTCTTGTGGATGTGGATTCATGTGGATGAACAAAATTGAAACACTCTATGTGGAACCTTCAATAAATATAAAACATCTTCTGTTTACTTGTAATCAGGAACAGGAGGAACATCTTATAGTCTAAGGTTACATTCATGGGACTGATCCCATAAAACAAAACAAAGTGAATGTGGCTAAGTTAACCTCCTGTTCGCCTGTTCTCTTCCTGTCTGCCTTGGCACTCTTTCCTCAAGGCCTTTCTGCACCAGGACTCTTGTTAGTTCAAAACCAGCTTCAGACCTCCGCAGTTTCATTAGTTGAGATTAAAGCCAATGTATTTCTACTTCAGTTGAAGCATATTTGAAACTACAGAATAATAGCACTCATATTTAGCTTTGAAATACTGTGTTCCTAGAAGTTATGAGCAATGTGAAAATTTTATTTCCTCATTCCCCAAACCTGAAATTTAAACATACTAACAAATATTTAAAGAGAAGGGTGACTTGCCAATTTTGCAGCATCCTCCAAGGCTTTTTTCCCCCCCATATGACCCAATAAAAGCAGACTTTATGAAAAAGAGGATAAATGGAATACAAATAGTCCTCGACTTGTGACTGCAATTGGGACTGGAATTTTAGTCTTAAATCTTGATGGTCATAAGTAAAGGCACCCACATGACTGGACACAATTTTATGACTCATTTGGCAGCGGTTAAGAAAATTGTGTGATCCTAAGTCCAAATCCATTTTCTGAATGGGTATATTTTCCTGGGAACCAGCAAAAAAGGAATTAAAAAAAATAATAATCAAATATCATATGACTGCAGGACACTGGAACCAGTCATAGATGTGATTGCCAAGCACCCAAAATGCAGGGATGTGGGGATTGTGCGTAGCACAACATTTTGGCCTGAAGTGCTTTAGTGATCACAAAACATCCTTTCTGAGGTCATCTTAACTCCGAATGGTTATTAAATGACTAGTAAATTTAAAAAAAAAAACCTGTATGCAAGCAGTATCCTTTCCCTTGGATATGGAATGGGAATGAAGACAAGTTTCTTTAGTATGCAACAACCTAAATCCAATAAAAACAAAACAAAAACAAACCTGGGTGGACAAGTAATTTTTCAATCCTTATTCCTACCTTCAAATTAGAGTTACTGACCTTTGCTTGCTGCTTTAACAAGCCTCTACAGGTTTCCTGGCGAGATTTCAGAAGTGGTTTGGCATTGCCTGCTTCCTAAGGCTGAGGGAGAGTGACTGGCTCAAGGCCATCCAGTTGGCTTTGTACCTAAGGCAGGACTAGAATTCACAGTCTCCCAGTTTCAAGCTTGATGCCTTAACTACTACACCAAAACTGGCTTATCGATATATTATTCCAATCAGACATAAAAATATACCAACACACCAAGTTAATATAATAGCAATAATTTAGATGCAGGACATATGTACAGAACTATGAGGGACAACAATGTTTCATAATTCCCAATGCAAAGATTAGTGATTTTATCCACTATTACACATAAAGGCTATGGAATTGCTTATAGATCTTTCTATGTCCTTGCAGAGTTTACATGATTTCACATAAGCAAAAAGTAAAGCGTCTTCTTTTTTTAATAGTTTAAGATACATAGGAGATTATTATTTGGTTTTACAATATAAAATGTTACCTACTTATAGACAGATATAGACAGGCAGACAAAACAAACATCCTAAATTGGTCAAAAACAAAACAATACTTCCAAACTAAAAAAGCTCATTTAAAAAAAAATAAAAAATGAATAAGTATAGTGGTGCTCTGTTTCATCATTTTTTCATCAGTCAGTCTGTTGATTAAATTGCATCATTGGGATTACTAAATAATAATAAAAAAAAAACCCTGGTAACCCCAGTGCATTAGTAAGTATTTTAGGAAAAGAGAAATAGTAACTTTAAAAAAAATCTGGTGGGTTTTAAACCATTAATACTCTATATGATAAGCAATAATTATAATGAATGCCCTGTTGCAGGGCTACTGGTCAAGGTTGCTTTAAAAAAAAAATTAGAGATAGTCCTCGGTTTACATCTATTCATTCAGAGATTGTTCAAGTTTTGCCAGCTATAAAAAAAAAACAATGAAGTTCCGACTGGTCCCCAAAGTTCTAACTATCCCAGCATCCCCACAGTCATGTGACTGTGAGCCAAGCATTTGGATTCCTGGCAGGTGATTATGACATCACAGCAAGCCATGTCACATGATTGCCATTGGCAACCTTTCTAGACAACTTCCTACAAGTGAAGTCAATGGGAAGCTGACAGGGAAGGTTGTATGTTGCCCTTGTAAATCACTTCCATCACTTTTTCTCCCAAGGAGTCTTCTGCAAAGTATCTAGCAGCCCCTTCTAGCTGCACACCATGGTGTGTCCCCATCCACAGGTCACCCCTGCCTCCTCTGCTGCCCCTCTACCGCCTCTCTCAGAGTTTCTTCAGCCTCCATCAGCCCTCTTGCCCTTCCTAGTACTTGTCTGTGGCACACCCTTCTCCTACAGCACCCATGCAAAACCCACCTGGTTCCCTTACCTGGGATTTCTGCCTCTTCCCAACCCATGTGCTGTGGAGTTACAGCTGGGATTGCCATTGCTAAGTGATGCGGTCATCTGATATCATGCTTTACAACTGCATCACTTAGCGATAGCAATCTCGGTCCTTATTGCTGTCGTCATAACTTGTGGACTACCTATAGACACCACGTTACCCATAGACTCAATCGATGAGGTATTCCTGCCCCTGCAAAGTAGCCAGTCAAGGTACCTTAGAAGAAAGAAATGTACTGCAGGCAAAATGAACATCACTTTAGGTAACAGAAGTAGGAAAACAACACTTTGAATAGCACTTCGGGAGTGGGAAAATGCTGCTCTCACTGGTTGAAGGGAATTTAGAGGCGATGCTGTTCATTCCTACAATACCAAAAATGGCCATTGGCCTGTAACTAGTTATGGGGCAACCTGATAACGTGGATGCATAAATAAGCCATAGTGGTCTCTTCATTAGGGTTCATTAAAAAATGAAACAGTGGCATGTGATACAAGTTCATACAAACACTGAAGTTGAGAAAGAAATGGATGGGTTGGACAGGATGTGGTGGACTATTCAGGTAAAAATATTATTTCTTGCACTTTATGTAATGGGGTGATTTCACATCTGCCTTATTGATTATTCTTTCATATTAGTTGAAGAGCAATTATTGCTGTAGTTCTAATGACAAGTGGCAAAAGTGTTGTAATGTACTGGCAGCTATAACACAGGTGCACAACTAGCATCATCAAGTTTCCTTTCTAAATATTGGTCATCTGCACCACCGGACATGAATCTTTAATCTGTAATTTAAAAAACACAGACATCAAAAAATGAAATCCTTAATAAGCAAATTAAAAACTGATTCACCAGTCAAATATCTTAAGCTATTATGTTTAGCATACATTTGTGAATCTAAAGCATAGTTTTCCAATGTCACCACTGTTTGACACATTAGCCTAGGATGGTGAAAACAAAACAACAACAACAAGAAAACAACCCAATGCTGGCCAGTGTCTTAGTTTCTCTAATTAATCCTGAGTCAAATGCACAAAGTAGTCTGTTCTCCAAAGACAGCAAGCCATTGTAATTAGAATTTATTATGAGTTATTTTTCCAATAGCAATATCCAATATCTGAATTATGTCTCAACTTGTTTGTTTTCAGATATCAGAACAAAGATTCCATAATCTCCATATGATGAAATGTTGGAAACCGAAAGTAGAATTAGACTGCATTCTCTCTGATCCACCAAGATCAGTAACAACCACCATTGCATAGTATCTGCTAAGTTCAACCTGGATAGATGGTCCAAAGGACATCATGGCTAAGGATATCAAAAACTAGCTTATTTTCCGCTCCTAAGGCATCCTCAAACTGACTATGAATGTTTTCATCCTACTGCTGGACCTGATGTATAATTGGAAAGAATCTAAAGAAACAATGGAATTGGGACACCACTACAAGTTCCAATGACTTTCTGAACAAAGATTTTGTACTGCTTTACAGTTTCAGTCTATTTTTTCTATATATTCGCAAAGGTACACATTTCATTATATATTATATTCTATAATATTATATACCAATTATATACCATATTATATACCTTCTCGTCTGCATTTATGGAAACCACAAGATTTATGGTTTACTACCAAAATAGTAGGCCTTCAACTAGCTAAATTCATGCCATTGGAATGCAATAGTGATTATAAATTCTGGGATTAATATTATACAAAGGAAGGCACAATATTATTTTAAGATATTGCCTAAATAATAATTATTAAGCCATTATTCATTATGCCCATATTAATTTATGCTAAAAAAAACTTATGCAATTCCTGGTACTGGTTCATACAAACTATTTGCGTGTTTATTTCTCTTATCCCAAAGAAGGAAGGAAGAAGCAAAAAAAAAAAAAAAGAACTTGTAGTTTTGCATAACATGAAGTAACTCTTTTATTTAATAGGAAATGAGTGTATACCTTTTTACATACTTGTGAATACATTCAAAGCTAATTGTACAGGTACCTGATGCAATTCTGCTTAGCTTCACTTGCTGCTTCCTGTTTGTTAGGAAGCTTATGATCCACTTGCAAGTGTGTTCAGCTACCTGTATCTGGTTTAGCTTAGTTAGAAGTGTGTCTGGAATGATGGTATTGAATGCTGAACTAAAGTCTACAAAGAGGACCCTTGCATAGGTCTTTGGAGACTCAAGATGTTGTAGGATGTAGTGCAGTCATATTAACAGCATCATCTGTGGATCTATTTGCTCGGTATGCAAATTGCAAGGGGTCTAACAGCGGATCCGTGATGGTTTTCAAGTGGGACAGCACTAGCCTTTTAAAGGTTTTCATGACTACAGATGTTAGAGCAACTGGTCTGTAGTTTTCAGTTCCTTGATGGTGGGCTTCTTTGGCACAGGGATGATAGTAGAGCATTTGAAGGAAGAAGGAACATAGCACATCTCTAGTGATTTATTGAAAATACGGGTGAAGATGAGAGCCAAGGTCAGCACAGACTTTTAAGCAAGAAGGAGTTATCTTGTCTGGGCTTGGAGCTTTTCCTGGCTTTTGTCTGTGAAATAGGTCTTGCACTTTCTTTTCTGTGATCACTGGGGTTGTGAACCCAATGGGATGGAGTCAGTTGTAGGAGGCTTGGCTATTGTTAGGGTTGCTTTGAAAAAATATGTCTTTAATTCACTAGTTCATCACAAATGCAATCTTACAGAAAAAGTATTTTTGTCTCCTAAAAAAGTAGGACCAATAGGACATTATGGAGATCCACCACAGTTACTTGTTTTGGGATTATAGGCCAAATATTACTGATTTATACATATCATAATTTAGGGAAGGGCAGGGCAGATATAATTGCTTGTGAGTTTAATTTTTTTCTCACAGTGTCTCAATAAAAAACGTATCTACTGATCTTCAATCTTTTCATATACTCCTCTGATATGAATCATCTCACACCCACACTCAACTATATAGGTAATCATTGTAAAAACTCTGAGGGTGGGGAATCCACCGCAGTAATTCCTTTTTTGTACTTTGCATTGTTTTGTATGCTGACATATTGTATATTATTGGAAAATTTATGCTCTACTGGTTGATGAAATTGATCCCCAAATTATAGGAATAAGCAGAGCATAAAAGTTAAATTTCACTAGCACTGATTGTGTTTCTTCCCTTTATATGTTCAAAACCACCCGATGCTATTCAAAGATGCTGAATATGACCCAGATTTCATTTTAAGAATAAAGAGGACACACAAAGAAATGCTATGGAAGCTCTCTATGGTTGGTAGCACTGAAAAGTGATGGTGTTCAAGAAAAATTTTAAAACCTGGTTGCTCAATAGATTGATAATACCTGCCTCTGTGCTACCAACCTTAGACAGGTTCCTCTCCCTCCTCTCCCTCCCTCCTTTTAGGGTACTCCCCCCCCCCATGTTTTTGTGGTATTCTTGTTTTTTAAACTGTAAACTCCCAGGAGTCTTTAGGAGTTAGATGACCACTAAATTGTTCAAGCAAAATCCAAGGCAGCACGCCCTAAAATCCAGCTGCTAAGAACCAATTCAGAAGGGACAACTAACTTCCACAGGTCATGTTGCTCTGGTTAGCATGTGATGAAGAAAGGTATCCTAATGGATGGTTGTGTCAGCCAACTTAATTAACAGTCAACCCCACACGAGGGATGGCAAATACAAATGAAATACAATATTGCCCTGCGTCAGGCAAAGCTATTTTCATTCATTAATCTTTTATTAGCCTAAGATGATAAAAGCCCCACCAAGCCATAACAATAATGGATCTAGGAGTTACTCCCAAGGTAACTGGGTAATCTGGTTCCTCAGGAGAGCAACCCCCGTCTCCAGGACAAGATGACAGTATTTTCGATATCTCCATCTTGTATTAACTAAGCCTCTTTCAGAAGCTCACGTCCCATCCTTAACACTGCTGAAGGATTCCTGAACTACAGGTACTGTACAGGTACAGGAACTACTACTTTTAACCATTGTTTAATGGTTAATTCCAAGTTACTATGGCACTAAAAAAAGTGATTTATGACCAGTTTTCATGCCAAAGACCATTGCAATATCCCCCATGGTCACGTGATCAAAATTTGGGTGTTTGGCAACTGGCATATATTTATGAACGGTTTCATTGTCTCAGGGTCATGTGATCCCCATTTGTAACCTTCCCAGCTAACTTCTGACAAGAAAAGTCAATGGGGGAAACTGGATTCACTTAAGAACCCCGTGATTCACTTCACAAGGTAGTAAAATGGGGCACAACTCACTTAGCAACTATCTTGCTTAGGAGCATGAATTTTGGGCTCAGTTGTGGCCGTAAGTCGAAGCTTGCCTGTATATGGGGTGGTGATTGATCCTGTCTGCCTTAGTTCTAATACTACACTTTTCCATGATAAATGTTAAGTAACATTATTTAAACATAAACAGGACAGGCCCTTGATAAACAAAGAATAATATATACATTAAAGAAAGCAATCGACAAATTTGAACAATATTCCTCACATTTTTAAAATATATGGAGCTGTGGTGGCCCAGTGGTTAGAGTGCAGTACTGCAGGCTACTTCCGCTGACTGCCTGCTGCCAGCACTTTGGCAGTTCGATTCTCAACAGGCTCAAGGTTGATTCAGCCTTCCATTCTTCCAAGGTCAGTAAAATGAGGACCCAGATTGTCAGGGGCAATATGCTGACAAAATGCTTAGAGAGGACTATAAAGCACTGTGA